CAGATTTGGGGGGTGGGGGTGGAGGAACATTGGCGCAGTAGTTTGTGCACTGCACTCCGCTAATGGTCACCGCATCGCACTGCGCTTTCATATGCACTTTTGCGGCCGTCTGGAATGCTCTTCCTTCCGATATTTGGAAGCCACTGGAGCTGTGCACTTTTAAATAATCTGGATTGAATACCCATGTGTTTAAAACTGCTTTTTGTATTTTGTTTGTTTTATTTCCCCCGCACATCCGATTAGCATGGTTGGCTACGTACAGTACAAAATAAATTCAACATACGTACATACTGTGAATGCAAGATAAGTTCGAAGGAGGTATCACAGGAGCGATTCACTCCACTACTCCTGATGCAATTATCTGGCTCAACCACGCCAATGTGGAATTATAGTTGCGTCTCTACGTCCACATAAGCCATCGCAAAAAGGAGGATGGTTTGATTGATCTCTGAACTGGTCCTGTCCCCTTTCCCCCCTTCACCGTGGTAACACGTGGTCAAACATTCCCCATAACCGACAGAACCTCATCCAGCAGTGGATTAGGGCTGTCCGTTTTATTAAAGTATAAAACAGATGTGCGCACAAACGTTGCAACTTAATGTGGATTGATGTCCAAATGAAAGTGCCATAGTGAATGGGAACATTTAATACATGCAATGGTAAAGAAACAGTTGATTAATGAAAAAATTATTATCATGCTTTCAGTATTGGCATCGAATCTAGCTTGCAACGGTGTGTTATTTCCAGTTAATAAATGTGCATGTGAGTGGTACCACTTCAGATTCATAGATTCCCTCTATAATAATAACGTTTATTTTTTATATATACTTCCGTCGTTCATGCAAGTTGCGTCTCACGATCGCTGAGGAACCGCAGACAAACTGGAAGGCAACCGGGGCGGTGAGTCCACTCTCATAACATTTTCCCAAGCTCTACAGTCCTCTATTTGTTAAGATGTTTTCGGCCAATTAATGAGTGTTCATACATACTGGAGGAAACCAAAAACCTCTGAGTCGATGAATTATCAATTAATTGTTGCTATTTAGGGTCATGATTAATTTAATTAATTCCCAACCCCCTACCCCCGGATTGTATAATCAACGTCAAGTCATGAGATAACGTATCCATTAGGATCTCTGTCTGAGCAGCGGTTCATATTAGATAATGGCCCACAGAAAGAAAAATTCCAGAGCTACTTTGGAAATCCACTTTTCAAGCGACATCCCTTGCACAGTCGTAGGCTGAAAGTCCTTACTTGCTCTGCACATCAGAACAATATTCATCCCATGACAGTCAAACCGATATCGTTTTACTTAACAGAGCTGTAATTTACACAAAATAAGTGCAGAACCAAATTCAACTTGATGGATGTTTGTGTTCAATCGTTAGGTGAGACCATCAGTGCACTACAATTGAAGAATGCGTTCTTTTCTCTGGGTTTTCCCTCAACATTTAGAATCAATGTGTGTTTAGAGTATTTGGCTGCAATAAACTTCCACGTGATAAGCCACTTCGTTGGGCTACCATTTGTGGCAAGGTCACTTCTGAAAAGAGCTACGTAGCTCAGTGGGCCTTACCGGTAAAATAAAAAAAATAGTTTAGTTTAGTTGAAAAATGTACTGAATGTAGCAGCTCTACCGGTGGCTACAGGGGATAAATTGAGCCCATTATGTAGAACATTTACTCCTAAAACATTGCGCATGTAACGATTTGATGCATGGATCATGAGCTTAAGAATCAACATCAATCGATGAATCCATGATTCATAACATCGCTATTTCACAACACTGTCAATTATATAGAGCCATCAACATTGCCTATATTTTCAGATCACTATGAAATCCCTACATTCACACTCCTGTTGCACCTGTGATAGATTCATAACAGTAGATTTATACTGCTGTAGATTATATTGTGTAGGACAATCACCCAATTTGGAAGCTAAGCAGGTATTTGAGCCTGGATGATGCTTGTTACATGCTTATACATATCGTAATAACCTTGAGTCGCAAGAGCCAGTGACCACATGCCAGCGCTCTAATTGCCTAAATCCCAAATGAAGAAACTTTCAAAGTAATAAAATACAGGCCTCAGTCATGTGGGTAAAAAGTAATTTTTTTGTCATCGATGCTGCCATTCACTGGTATAGTTATGCATAACTCTTTGCGATTTATAATCTGTTTCTTTTGGGTTAGTTCGTGTAAATACATTGTTTTGTAAACCCTCCTCCACCCTACACTGCCAATCAATAAAAGTGACGAATTTATGACCGCTTTAGCAGCACCATCGCTATGATGGTGAATAATCTCGCAACATTTCAATGAGTGTGACGTTTCGCCGGAGATGACACCCAGCGTCATGAGGTTGTTCACAGCAGCTCAGATCTCGAGTCATCTGAGCTGTTTACAACCTATACATACATACAGGTGCATAGCCATGCCTGCCGGGTAAACACGTTTCCACCTCGTCAGCGGGTACACCACAGTGCTCTCTATGGGAATTTGGCGCTACTGCTACAAACTTCCCCGATAATATAATTAGGGTTCGGGTAAACTAAACTGTTTTTTATTTTACCAGGTAAGGCCCACTGCTATATAGCTCTTTTTCAGAAGTGACCTGGCCACAAGTTATAGTTCAAAGAAGTGTCTTGCCTTATGTGGAAATTCATGACACCCAAATACTATAAATGCATGCTGATTCTAAATGTGGAGGGAAAATATAGAGGACCTGGAGAAAAAATCCACACAACCACAGGGAGAGAGACACGCAAACTCCAAATATACAGCAGGCGTCAGGGTTAGAATCAAACCCACGACCTCCTGTTTACCAGGCCAGGTAATTAACATATCGTCACCTTACCCCCACAAATTCTCAGGGCCTCAGTTATGTCTGAGTGGAAAGTCAGTTTACAGTTACCTCATGCAGGAAAAGTGCATAAGTATGTGGATTTTTGGGATTTTTTTCCCAGGAACAAAAAAAACCCTTCCTGTAACTGATATCTTAACCAGTAGTTTGGGCCCCCCTGTTTACCAACCCACACTCACCAGCTTGGTGACGTATGGTCAACAACAACCGCCATTCGCCACTAAAAGGCGGTGACTTCGCTATGGCGCTTGTGCCAGCAAATGTGCACTTTAAGGCCATGTGAAGGGTCGAATGCCCGATGGCAGGTCACGGAACAGACCCAGATGCCATGAGTTGACTGAGATAACTGGCCGATGCACCACCTTTGCCCTCTGCTGTGCCAACTTGCTGTGTTTTAGCTGCCCGGAGCTCCTCTCGTTGTTGTGAGCATCGCTCCTCTTCCCTGCATTGTTGCTGGAGAGCGACTACCTCCAACTGCCCAGTAGCATCCTTCACGAGCTTCCTCCACAGAGGCAGATCTTGACACTGCTGGTACCAGTCATCGGCAAGTCCACTCGGCTCCATATCCTCTTATACCGCATCACTCCATCTCTTCTCTCGCCCGTGCCGCTCCCGTTTAGCCCCCTCGATCCGGCCGAACAAAAGCTGTTTCGGCATACGGTGGCTGGGCATGCGGGCTACATGACCCAGCCAACGCAGCTTTGCCTGCCGGAGGAGCTCACCGATGGGACTTTTTCAAGGATTTGTAAGCTCATACAATCCAGCCTATGGTCAAACAACCCCCATGACTGACACAACATGGGGAGGCCTTCATCCAATAGTGGATTGATAAAAGGCTGTGAATTGCTGTAATGTCGGGAATTCCATGCTGAGTTAGTGTGTGGGAGGCACGCACACACTTGCATTGAGTGGAACACACCGGTAATTGATTTAATTCAATAAAAATGCAAAACATTACGAACTACCACCCCCATACAGAAGTATAAAATCACAATCTTTAGCGCCTGTCTGTCTACCGCCGCGAGTGCAGTGCGTGCGTGGTGATGACATCATCGTGCACATCTGCGTGATGTCATCACCCGCCATCCCACAGCGTTGCGCTGGGTTCCCGCGTCGTGCTGACGTCACGCCTCGCCCCCCTCCCCCCCCGTTCACGCTCCACCCTGGACGTGTGTCTCGAGCGAACGCTTGGGCACTATATGAAGATATATTGTCTGATTTAAAGCTTTCGTGACTGCAGGGATTCATATTCTTGGTTCTTTCGGTAAAGTCACGTAGAAAGAAAACAATAAAATAATACAAATATAAAACAATAAAATTCTCATGGCATTTCGACTGCAACACAAGCAATCATCATCAGGTGTGAAAACCACAGCAAGAAAATTTGAAAAAAGTGGCGTTTTTTTAACGTTAGCACCACGGAGAGCGATTTGACAGTTTGTTCAGATGGACGAGTCCATCTATGTCCGGAAAAGAGGAGCGGGGAGATGAAAAATAATGGATGCGGTCTGAAAGCCACCTTAAGCGTGATCAATCAATTAAGACCCGAAATGGTTTATCAAATCCTTCCAATGATTGCTAAGCCAGAATCCATCTTCTCGGTTGAAATTGTCTCTGTGTTTGTATATGTGGATAGCCGTGGCAGATCACTGTTATAATTCAGTAGGCTCACATGACATTGACTTCTCCAAGACAGAGGTTCTTTGCAAGCCATCTGGCTACCATGAGAGATTCGTTCATGAGGCTATCCACATATACAAACACAGAGACAATTTCAACCGAGAAGATGGATTCTGGCTTAGCAATCATTGGAAGGATTTGATAAACCATTTTGGGTCTTAATTGATTGATCATGCTTAAGGTGGCTTTCAGACCGCATCCAATATTTTCGTCTCCCCCCTCCTCTTTTCCGAACATAGATGGACTCGTCCATCTGAACAAACTGTCAATCATCATCAGGTTTTCACACCTGATGATGATTGCTTGTGTTGCAGTCGAAACGTCGTGATAATTTTATCGTTTGTATCTCTTCTACGTGACTTTGCCGAAAGAACCAAGAATATATATTGTCTGCTTATTTATTTTCTTACTTATGTTCTCTGTGACAAAGCTAATGATTATGTTATGTATTACAGAAATAATTTTGCATCGAACGAGGATCCGTATCTAATAAAAAGTCCTTGCAGCTCAACGTTGGTTCAAACAAGCCGGACTGCTGGTGAGACACTGTCAAAAGCGGTCCAGACTTTTGCTTGTCCTGAACCAATGCTGCTGAAATGTTTCACTCCCAGAAGGCCTTGTGGTTGTTGGAGAGCATCTTTTTTTACTTATATTTTGTAGTTGGAGGATCAGGTATGTAAAGGGAGATATCGTCTGCTTATTTATTTTGGACTTTGAATCTACTGTATATGTTCAAAAGGGACTTTTCACAATTACAAATTCAACAATTGCAGGTGTGGAGTTGATTATGCTATATATATCTTGAGTGCAGTCTGCTGGAAAGTGGATGCTAATAGTCTTGTCAAATTACCACATATCAGTACCGTAGCACAAATCCCATCTTCAATAAAGTATCTGCAACTAAATTGTCACAGGAAAGATGGATATTTATGTTTTGGTGTATTGCTCAAATGTATACGACTCTGGTTGTCTGGTTATATGCAGAATGGCAGACAAAAATGTTTATATATATTGGCAGTCATGTAACGATGAGGATTATGATGATAATCTGAATCTGGTTTGGTGGCACTGTGGTTAGTAGAGCACTTAGCTCAATATAAATGTACTGGACATCTGTGTAATACTGGATATCTGTGAAAAAGAGCTTCATAGCTCATCGGATTTCTCCAGGAACAATGAAGATTCTGATTCTGTGAGTGATTGATGGAATGTAGGTATCACTTTGTGGGAAGTCATTAGTGGTTTCCCTTTGGACAAACTGTCCCCCCACCATAGGATTGTGGAATTTCCACCACTGTCTCAGAGTCGTAAGTGACGAGCACTAAGCCCGTGCTTATTTGATACACTTTAGGCCCGGTTCACGTACTGATGAATGTTCCTTTTCATATTTTTTTTGGCAAAACGAGCCATGTCTTCATTACCAACCGATGGAACACATTGCCAAGGTGATGTGGCAAATCGCCAAGATGTGTTTTGTCCAGATGTCAGTCTGCCGCTTTTGACTTTTTGACGCTTTGCAACCGAGGTTGAAAGCGTGTACGCATCAGCTCCGTCTATCCATCCATCCATATTGGGGTGGGGGAGGACACACTAACTCTTGTAAAGATAATCCAATCTAAACAAAACTACCAAAACTTTGAAATCCAAACCAAAGAGGACCATGTTTGCAAATATGCAAAGAAAAATATGCAACGGCGATTTTCTCTGACAGCTGCCTGCTGTCTTCCACGCTACGTTTTAAACAATTCATTAGACAACACATGAGCACATAATCCGTGCGTGCATGTGATTTTTCTTCCTCTTTATAGCAATGTGCTGATATTGAGGATGTTAACCCGATTTAGCAAAAATATGAAGTGGAATCAAACGCTCTTTCCCTGACGGTGCAGGACTGAGACGCCACCAACCTGAGTTGAACTCTTGACCGGTGTCCCCATCCACGTCGTCGCCCATCCTCCGGCTGGCTGCCCCTGCTCGCCCAGAAACAGCCCGCCACTCCCTCCGGGCCCACCTGCCTGCCCTCGGGCTCGTCCCAGAAATGGACCTGAGACAGGAGCTGCCCTGGCCGCTGGTGCTGCCCCTGCGCGCCTTGCTGTGGGCCGTGTCGGCCATCTCGGCGCTGCCCCGGCTGCTCTTCCCGGACGAGGCCCGGCGGAAACGCCTCGAGGCCGTGGCACGCCTCAAATCCACGAGCGGCGCCGGGAGAGGTGAGCGGCATGTGACGCCGTGGGCGCCCGTGTGAGACGGGCTACGTGCGCGCGCGGAAAAGTTCCTCAAATCCGCAGCCGGATGAGGGTCCCCCCGTGCCGCATCGATCGTGGGGGTTATTGGAATGTTCGTCGCCACCACTGTGGCTGGTTGTTGCGGGTTGGTGAAGTGAATTTGGCCCTTGACCGCTCCACCACTGACGTTAGCCAACTCAATAGACGAGCAGATAACACTTATCCTTGTATGTATGTTGAAATTATTTCGCACCCTACGTAGCCAACCGTGCTAATTGGAGATGCAGGGGAAGGACAACAAACTGAACACAAGCAGTTTTAAAATGTATGCGATATAACCCAAAAAACCTGTATTATGGATGATATTGGTCGCAAAAGCCTACGTGTTAAAGAGCATTCGAGATGGATGCAGAAGTGCACGTCTGCTAATTGGCCCATAATAATGTCAGCAGCATTGATTCAGTACAAGCACACCCTGGACCAGTTTGCTTTTTGGAAAATGTGTTTGTTTGCGTATGCACAGAAACGGTGTGCTTTTGGCACACGTGCCTATGTGTTATTTGAAACTTATGGTATTCTGGCCTGCACTTATTTTGTTTCGGTGGGTTTGCCGTGTCCCTTACAGACCGGTTTCTATATGTCGTGCTGAATGGTTGTGTACAGAATATTTGGATTCTTTACATGGAGAGGCAGATATATTTTGGAGACATATCGTTTGCTTATCCATTTTGTTATTTATGTTCTCCATAGCGACGATGCAAATTGATTAATTTTAGCCAACTCTGGTCTCTGGGTTTATGACACAGTGTGCCAACCACAGTGTCACCAAATCCATCTGTGATCCTCTACACTCCTCCATAATATTAATGTTCTGAAAATTTCTTACACTGTTACAGACGTGATCCGTTAATGCTGATTGGCATTGTTATCTTCACAGAAACTTGACAGGTGCATTGAAGCTGTTCTTGGCACATTCGACCACATCTGGTCTACTGCTGACTGCCCCAACCATAACAATTGCCCCATATGTACACATAATCGGGAAGAGAAGGTTGTGATGAATGGGGCATGTGTACAGGATGAAGGAGGATAGGGTCAGCAACTTGGGAGTTTGTGAATAGAATATGGCAGGAAAGTATCGTAGATGTAATCTTGGAGAGGTCATCAATAGCATTGGCTGTTGATGACCTCTTGACCTTGTAATCTCCCCTCTTCATGAACACTTAGTCTGGATAAGAGGCCAAGTTAAAGGACTTGGGAAGTACTTGTTGGGCTTGTCTCTCTAGCTTTCATTTACTGACATCCAGTGATGTTACACAGCTGGTACTGAGATGCCAGTGGGAGAAAGAAGCAGATCATTATAAATGCCAAACGTTCCACGTCTCACATCTTTTGCTTAATCTTCTCTCCCTTGCCCGCTACTGTGAATGCTGCTCTTTTACAGCGTCTGCTCGGTAATTGTCATTCAAATCCACCTTGGCCACAAAGGTGGCCACAAAGGTGGCCAGGTGTGGATTTGAATGACAAAGGTGGCCATGTGTGGATTTGAATGACAAAGGTGGCCAGGTGGCCCACGGTCAGGGCACTGACCAGGCACAGCTGAGATACCTGGGTTCAACTCCAGGCAGCCACCCTTCTCAACGGCATCAGCCTTAGTCATCAATGTATGGAATGTATGTTGAACTTCCTTCGCACCGCACGTAGCCAACCGTGTTAATCGGAGCTGCGGAGGAAGGACAACAAGCTAAACATGCAAAAACAATGACGGCACAAAACAATCGTATGCAGAAACGTGTTTGGCAAGATTCCACCTCTTGACTGTTATGTGACAGTATCAAAGCAGAGTGTATTGAAAAGTGTAACCCTTTTTGTGTAAAGAATTTAAAAATGCCAATTGAAGGATGTTTTCAAAAGTCCTGTGAACAATTCCTTGCTCTGCCTTTGTAGGAAACGTGGGCTTGGCATTTCTCTGTGAGATTTCCGGACCTGCAAGAAAGTTCACTTTGTCAGGGTGTTCACTGTAAATAGGTTTAATAAATTGAGCCTTGAATGCATCGTCACATAAGTGTACAATTTTATTTGTACTCCGAATCTTAATGCAATATACTAATATTGTACACGCCTCCGAATCTAATGCAATATACTAATATTGTACACGCCTCCAAATCTAATGCAATATACTAATATTGTACACGCCTCCGAATCTAATGCAATATACTAATATTGCATACACGTGATACATGTGTACGGTATTTACTGTACAGTACAGTATACATGTGTACAGTTTCCACCATACAGTGTACTCTACAGTACAGTGTGCTATGCAGTACACCACACAGTACACTGTACTGCATAAGTACACTGTAAACTGTGCTGTATAGTACACTGTAAAAAAACGAATGAGGATTGGATATCTGGCAGCGTTTGTGCAGCTATGCTCGTTATAAGCGGGGGATCGTTCTAAGCACGGTTCATTATAACGAGTTAATACTGTTTATAAAAAAACTAATCTCACGTGCGTATATCGTCGTCCCATCCATCCATGTTTTCTCCAATCCCGTTTCCTCATCACATGGGGGGGGGTCCTCATTACTCCATGAGATTTCCGTATGGATTCCTATTCTCACAATGTGATGTCGAAAGTAAAAATCAGAAAAAATTACGCGATGCGAAAAACAAACAAAACTAATAATTTAGCAAAAGAATTTCTCACGAGCACCTCACTTTGTTCCCCCCATCATCCATCCACTTGTCCCGTCCGCCGCTGTCGTTTCCCTGCCGCGGCGCTCTCGGTGTCGACTTGCACGAGGACAGGGGGGCCATACCGCACCGTCAGCGACTCCAGCGGGCTGCAGAGCACGCTGGCGCCGGGCGTGGACACGTTGGACCGCGTGTTCGAGATGGCCGTGGACCGATTTGCCAGCCACGACTGCCTGGGCACCCGCGTGCTGCTGAGCGAGGAGGAGGAGATGCAGCCCAACGGAAAGCTCTTCAAGAAGGTAGTGGCTTGCAGAGGAGAGGTTCGGCAGGGCGGCTCACTGGTCAGAGCGCCGAGTTGGGGCTCGCAGAGAGGTAGAGAGCGGTGTTAGAGGTCGGAGCGTTGAGCTGGCGCTCACAGAGGTAACCGGGTGGCTCAGAGGTCAGAGCGCTGAGCCAATCAATACTACTGAGATCGGAGGTTCGAATTCAGGCAGCTGCCCATATTATGGTGCCATGGTGGTGAGATGTTAACTACTTCACCTGGTATACAGGAGGTCGTGGGTTTGATCCCGACCCTGACACCAGTATATATGGATATAGGAATAGGTTTTACCCTTTTAACTGGCACAAAAACTGACACCTTTATTCAAGGCATCATGTTTGCAATAACCACAACACAAGCAGTCAAAATGCAAACAAAAGAGACAACTCTGATAATAATATGCACTGTCCTTGAATTTGATTGGTCTACACCCGAGACGGCTTTTCTTAGAGCCTAGTCTCCATTGGTGTTGGACCAGAAGACGCCAAAAGGCGTACGCCATATTATTATCAGAGTTGTCTTTTTTGTTTGCATTTTGACTGCTTGTGTTGTGGTTATTGCAAACATGATGCCTTGAATAAAGGTGTCAGTTTTTGTGCCAGTTAAAAGGGTAAAACCTATTCCTATATCTTGTTACTGGCAAAGGAGGTCTCATAATGTAAATATGGAGTTTGCATGTTCTCTCTGTGGTCGCGTGGATTTTTCTCTGGGTCCTCCGGGTTTTCTTCTCCACATTTTGCAATATGTGTTTATATTATTTGGCTGCAATAAATGTCCACATGATGAGCCACTTAATTGAGCTATCATTTGTGGCCATGTCGCTTCTGAAAAATAAACTAATAGCTCAGCGGGATTTACCTGGTGAGATAAAAAATAGTTTCGTTTTATTTGTATAGTATTAGTGATTTGTTTACCTTTCCTATACTTTACACTTATATCGTGTTTTGTTTGTTGTAACGTTCTGACCTGCCCCTATTGGACATCTATGAATAAGACATTTCATGGGATTCCTCCAGTATAAATAAAGTTTCTGATTTAGAAAATAATATTTATTTTTTAATAGTTTAAACGAGATTCCCAAGTGCAGAAATCGATTGTCTCAGGCTGGCTCACCAATGCCTGTGTAGTGAGTCGCAGATGTCCTTCTTCGAGGCAACACATTTATTTATTAACACCAACACATTAACACAAAGGGGTTACTGCCCCTTTACAAGATAACCTTGGCTGGTGGACCACCAGGCTAACTACGCTAGTTACTGTGAGTAGCTACAACGGACAGGACCCTGGCTTGGGTCCTCGTCCACGTGTTGGTGACTTCTTCTTAGACGTAGATCTTCGGATGACAACAGCAACGCTGAACCCCGGTCCCTGTGGGGACCCGGTTTATATGATACCGGGTCGTGGCTGGCCCCGCCCTTGGCCACGACCACCTTTGAGAAACCTCTTGTCATTTCTCGACCCTTCCCGTAGGATCTCACCCTGACACGTGACCACCCCCTAGCCTCCACCTGGGGCCCCTGTGTGCATCTTACTCGTAACGTGTCTTTCACAGGCAACTAGTGCCATGGCCTGGGGTAACCTCATCCCATGGCTGACACTCTCACACTCCGTCCTGTAGGAGTCAGCACTGCACGCCACGAGTGGTGCCACTGCACTATCCCAGCGCTCACCGAGCCCCCTTTAGGGGTGTCCACGATGACGATGCATCGCACGCCGTGCCTCGCCAGAGCCGGCATTACTCTGACATTCACGATATCGCTACATACGTGATGTCTGCGATGCGAGTGCATCGCATGCCGTACGCCTCTAGGGCCGGCACCACACAGTGACATCCGCGATGTCACTACACCTGCACTAAGTAGCTAATATCCAGGTGAGGCTTCCCTGGGATGATCGTTTCAGTCGCTCCGCTGGTTGGGAAAGTGCTGCCCCCTCGTGTGCACAAGAGACTTTAGAAGCCGTTCCGTTGATATCTCCTCCCGTCCATTTTCTGCTTTGGGAGAGATGTACTCTGTGAGAGTAACAAATGGATACTTCAAATGACACGATGCAGTCATGATATGACTGCCTTTAAATGTATAGTCTTCTCAATAGCAAAGCTTCAAACGCCTGTCAATCAGCCCCTATGTACATACAAGTTATATATCGAGCCCCCATGTATCCTCAGTCTGTGGGTACCATGGTGGTGAGCTGTTAACTACCTCGCATGGTATAGAGGAGGTCGTGGGGTCAATCCCGACCCTGATGCCTGCTTTCTATTTGGAGTTTGCATGTTCTTCCTTGGGTTTTTCCCTACACATTTCGAATCATACATTTAGAGTATTTGGCTACTATAAATTTCCACATGATAAACCACTTCGTTAAACTATCATTTGTGGCCAGGTCTCTTCTGAAAAAGAGCTCTATAACTCAGTGGACTTTACCTGGTAAAGTAAAAAAAATGTACCCATAAAGTAAATTTGTTCTATGCGTTTGGTATAGGTCTTTAATCACCCTGCAACACCAGCATGCGTCACTGGGCGGCAGTGTGAGCCCAGGATGCTTTAAGCTCATGGGCACTGTGCAATTTTTTGGTTTAAACTAGGCTACATTACTCATTCGTAAGTGCGGACCACTCGGGAGACCAGACTTAACACAGTGAACAAGTATTGGCACATGTACTGACGTTGGACCACCGTTTTAAGATGGGCAGTTGGACAATTTTCTGGCCCCTGATGGTTCCATCTCCACCATTGGCGGGGGGGGCCACATTGGTCGTGCTGAACAGAATTATAATCACAATATTTATTTATACTGGAGGAATTGGATGAGCTATACAGCTCAGTGAGAGTACACGGACCCGCTCATAGGCTACCGACCCCAATTCATACTTACACTTGTAACTCGTACTTTCGCTACATGCACGGGGTGGGAGAGGAGTCAAATCATCCCCCTGCCATCATGCGAACGTGGATTTGAGGGCGTGTTACTATCGCTCAAAAACCAAAGAGTATGGATTCCTGCAGTCACGAAAGCTTCAAATCAAGATTGTATCGCCCAAGCAAGAAATGAGTCCAAAACAACATCTAGTGTTTTAATATAGTTTTAATAAGATATAGTGTTAATAATAATTCAGTATTCTATCTGACCTGGATGTTACCGATGATTAGTGAATCTTTTACTGTACAGTACTGCACTTAATTAAACATTTATGTACATTTATATACATTTTATATATGATATTCTTTGGGTCTTTCGGTAAAGTGACTTTACCGAAAGACTCAAAGAACATGAATTCCTGCAGTCACGAAAGCTTTAAGTCAAGATTATATTTTACACTCATATTAGTGAACCCCAACTTACGCAAATTCACGCTTTCGCGGAGGTACATGGAACCTAACCCCCGCGTACTCTGAGACCTTACTGGAATACAAAAAAAACGATAGGAGTGCAAAGTATAAGAAAGGTAAACAAATCATTTAAAAATATACAAATGAAACTAAGAAATGTTTTTCTTATAATGCCCACTGAAATATTGACTTTTCAGAAGTGACCTGGCCACAAATGATAGCTCAACAAAATGGCTTATCACGTGGAAATTTATAGCAGACCCGGAGAGAAATTCCACGCAAATCCAGTTAGAGAGACATGCAAACTCCAAATATAGAACAGGCGTCAGGGCCGGGATCGAACCCCCATCCTGTTTATCAGGCGAGGTAGTTAACATCTCACCACTGTGCACAGGTGCAAGCCAAAGGAGCTTCGCCATCTTCGTCTATGATCGCCGCTTTAAAAGGTACAGTTTAAAAAACTGTACCAGATGGCACGTCCACCCTGGAAACGGGGCAACGGAACCGGGCTGCGGTGTGCAGGTGCTGTGTGAATTGTTGCATCGCAGGACCGTGAGAGAGGGGGGTGGTTATCCAGCTCGATTTGTATTCCCCATGTCTGGGAGCTGTTGGTTGCACCCTCTGCCCTTGGGCCCGCAGGCCATCTTCGGCGACTACGAGTGGCTGTCATTTGAGGGCGTGGACGAGCGGGCGATGAAGCTGGGCAGTGGCCTCGCCGCCTTGGGACAGCAACCCCGCGCCAACATCGCCATCTTCTGCGAGACCCGCGCCGAGTGGGTGGTGAGCGCCATCGCCTGCTTCAAGTACAACTTCCCCGGTGAGTAGTGGCGCTCGCACACGGCCACACAAGCAACGGCATGTGCCATTCATGCGTGTGCACATGGATGCGCGCACATCTTCACGTGCGCTCGCATATGTGAACACGCACGGGTGCGTTCGCGTGACGCGCGTGCTCGTATGAGTACGCGCGCACGTACACCCACCCACCTGCATCCGTGCACGCACATCAACGCACGCGCAAATGTGCGTCCACGTACGCGTATGTATCCGCAGCACGTGCGTCCATGCACCCAAGCACAATTACATGATACAAAGGCAAAGATTCCCCTTATAGCCTTTAACAGATTCTGTTCGTGAGCACCTATGAAGGCCGACACGGCACATAAGGGGGTGGGTGGCTAACACCACGTCCGGCCGCATTTGTCTCCCCAGTGGCGATGTTTACACACTGCACCAGGTACTCATTTGAGGCTGAGTCGACCTAGGGGAGGCCCAAGACCGGTTCAGATAATCGTCACGGGTGTTGGCCGTGAGCAGGAATCGAACTAGTGTCGCCGGGTTCATAGTGCAGCGTGCTAACCGCTACGCTACACGACACACACGTTTACACGCACTCATATTCACCTTCACATGCACGTGCATGCAGTGACAGCACCCCCCAGCTGTGTAAAGATTAATCGAAACAATGTTCAAAACAGCTCAACCAGTACCCTCCTGAACAAATTTAGATTTTTGGGCACCAATCCAGAGGGAAGAGGCAGGCGGTCTGAAGGCCAGGCATAACACCCAGAACAAGTCAGGATATGTCAAGCACGCACGTGGATTCTGTAACGCTTTTGAGCACGCATTTGTCTTGGCAAGTGTTTAATTAGCAGCACGGAAGCCGATGGTGGGTAGCTTTCAGGGCAAGAGTGCGTTTGCATTTCAAACCGTTACATGCGAATACTTTTGTATTTCTTCATGGACTTCCATCGGTGAAGTCATGTTATTATTTTTCAAGTAACCTCTTTCTATTTTAGTAATTAAAGCAAAAGTGGTGCCACGTACGGTCAGAATGACGGCCTGTGACGGCACTTTTGGCGGGAAGAACACTTAATGTGACATCACATTTTCACCTCTGCGCAGAATAAATAAATATATAAATACAGTAATGCCTTGCCAACCGCGAGTGTTAGGTTCCTGAAAACCCTCGCCGTTGGTAAACTTAAAACCTGATGGGGAAAATAGGGTTAGGGGACCAAGGTCGTGAGTGAACATATGAATCTCATAAACATTTTTTATCTTCACTGAAATTAACCACAACACACTAAATAAATGGAACGTCAGTGACGTTTAAGGACATGTTTAATTAAGAAAAGTACAGTAAAATTAAACTGCATTTACCTTTGATGATGATGAGGCACTCAGATCACCAACACTTTTGCTCATACGCTGAGGGGCCATACTTGAAATTTACGTAAAATTAGAAAAAAATTACAGACATGAAAAAAATTATCAGTTCAGTCTGATATATTTAAGCATTAAAAGGTAATACGAAAATCGCAAATGTTAAATATACAATTATGTTGTGAGACGGAGCGTGAATATGAATGATGGCAGAGGTAGCAATGTGGAGAAGAGACAGGAGTAGGTAGCTACAGAGCCAGTGGTGCCTCCTTATTGAGAGAGAGATGAGTGGGTAGTCACAGAGCCAGTGGTGTCTCCTTATTGAGAGAGAGAGGAGTAGGTAGCTACAGAGCCAGTGGTGCCTCCTTATTGAGAGAGAGAGGAGTGGGTAGCTACAGAGCCAGTGGTGTCTCCTTATTAATAGAGAGGAGTGGGTAGCTACAGAGCCAGTGGTGTCTCCTTATTGAGAGAGAGAGGAGTAGGTAGCTACAGAGCCAGTGGTGCCTCCTTATTGAGAGAGAGGAGTGGGTAGCTACAGAGTCAGTGGTGTCTCCTTATTAAGAGAGAGGAGTGGTAGCTACAGAGCCAGTGGTGTCTCCTTATTGAGAGAGAGGAGTGGGTAGCTACAGAGTCAGTGGTGCCTCCTTATTGAGAGAGAGAGGAGTGGGTAGCTACAGAGCCAGTGGTGTCTCCTTATTGAGAGAGAGAGGAGTGGGTAGCTACAGGGCCAGTGGTGCCTCCTTATTGAGAGAGGAGTGGGTAGCTACAGAGCCAGTGGTGTCTCCTTATTAATAGAGAGGAGTGGGTAGCTACAGAGCCAGTGGTGCCTCCTTATTGAGAGAGAGGAGTGGGTAGCTACAGAGTCAGTGGTGTCTCCTTATTAAGAGAGAGGAGTGGTAGCTACAGAGCCAGTGGTGTCTCCTTATTGAGAGAGAGAGAGGAGTAGGTAGCTACAGAGCCAGTGGTGCCTCCTTATTGAGAGAGAGGAGTGGGTAGCTACAGAGTCAGTGGTGTCTCCTTATTAAGAGAGAGGAGTGGGTAGCTACAGAGCCAGTGGTGTCTCCTTATTGAGAGAGAGGAGTGGGTAGCTACAGAGTCAGTGGTGCCTCCTTATTGAGAGAGAGAGGAGTGGGTAGCTACAGAGCCAGTGGTGTCTCCTTATTGAGAGAGAGAGGAGTGGGTAGCTACAGAGCCAGTGGTGTCTCCGTATTGAGAGAGAGAGGAGTGGGTAGCTACAGGGCCAGTGGTGCCTCCTTATTGAGAGAGGAGTGGGTAGCTACAGAGCCAGTGGTGTCTCCTTATTAATAGAGAGGAGTGGGTAGCTACAGAGCCAGTGGTGTCTCCTTATTAATAGAGAGAGGAGTGGGTAGCTACAGAGCCAGTGGTGTCCTTATTGAGAGAGAGGAGTGGGTAGCTACAGAGCCAGTGGTGTCTCCTTATTGAGAGAGAGAAGAGTGGGTAGCTACAGAGGCAGTGGTGTCTCCTTATTGAGAGAGAGAAGAGTGGGTAGCTACAGAGCCAGTGGTGTCTCCTTATTGAGAGAGAGAGGAGTGGGTAGCTACAGAGCCAGTGGTGTCTCCTTATTGAGAGAGAGAGGAGTGGGTAGCTACAGAGCCAGTGGTGTCTCCTTATTAAAAGAGAGAGAGAGGAGTGGGTAGCTACAGAGCCTGTGGTGTCTCCTCATTGAGAAAGAGAGGAGTGGGTAGCTACAGAGCCCGTGGTGTCTCCTTATTAAGAGAGAGAGAGGAGTGGGTAGCTACAGAGCCAGTGGTGTCTCCTCATTGAGAGAGAGAGGAGTGGGTAGCTACAGAGCCAGTGGTGTCTCCTTATTGAGAGAGAGAGGAGTGGGTAGCAACAGAGCCAGTGGTGTCTCCTTATTGAGAGAGAGGAGTGGGTAGCTACAGAGCCAGTGGTGCCTCCTTATTGTGAGAGAGAGGAGTGGGTAGCTACAGAGCCAGTGGTGTCTCCTTATTAAGAGAGAGAGGAGTGGGTAGCTACAGAGCCAGTGGTGCCTCCTTATTGAGAGAGAGAGGAGTGGGTAGCTACAGAGCCAGTGGTGTCTCCTTATTGAGAGAGAGATGAGTGGGTAGCTACAGAGCCAGTGGTGCCTCCTTATTGAGAGAGAGAGGAGTGGGTAGCTACAGAGCCAGTGGTGTCTCCTTATTAAGAGAGAGAGGAGTGGGTAGCTACAGAGCCAGTGGTGCCACCTTATTGAGAGAGAGAGGAGTGGGTAGCTACAGAGCCAGTGGTGCCTCCTTATTGAGAGAGAGATGAGTGGGTAGCTACAGAGCCAGTGGTGGCTCCTTATTGAGAGAGAGAGGAGTGGGTAGCTACAGAGCCAGTGGTGCCTCCTTATTGAGAGAGAGATGAGTGGGTAGCTACAGAGCCAGTGGTGGCTCCTTATTGAGAGAGAGAGAGAGGAGTGGGTAGCTACAGAGCCAGTGGTGTCTCCTTATTGAGAAAGAGAGAGGAGTGGGTAGCTACAGAGCCAGTGGTGTCTCCTTATTGAGAGAGAGAGGAGTGGGTAGCTATAGAGCCAGTGGTGCCTCCTTATTAAGAGAGAGGAGTGGGTAGCTACAGAGCCAGTGGTGTCTCCTTATTGAGAGAGAGCGGAGTGGGTAGCTACAGAGCCAGTGGTGCCTCCTTATTAAGAGAGAGGAGTGGGTATCTACAGAGCCAGTGGTGTCTCCTTATTGAGAGAGAGGAGTGGGTGCCTCCTTGCGTCTCTTCTTGCGAGTCTGCAACACAACACGGCGGATGCCACACAGCAGCGCAAATTCTGATTTCACAACTCGGCGTGACGACTCTTCATTCGCATATCACTCAAACCGAGATGCTCACGGTTGGTCAACAGGTAAACAGAAGTACATCCACGTGTACTCAAATCTCGTGGTTGGTTACTTCGTGGTTAGCAAGGGATTACTGTAAATCAAATGGACCATCCACAATGCCCATCTCTAGACCTGATTATTCGGCATTACCATAACATCGGGAGCCCACTCCTGGTACATTGTTAACTCTAACCCAAATACAAAGGAACAATGTGGTTCCAGTATCAGGTAGTACAGCAAGTAGCCTCCCGACAGAGACTCAGTCGGGATGAGCACCACCCAAAGTCAATTTGAATACTTTAGACTTTTTAATTATTATTTTTAGCTTTAATATCACTCTGTACGTGACTCTTTAGAAAGACGTGTGGGAGGTTTGTCAGAAAGGAAGTCATTGCTTGAGTGTGATTGCTATGTCCCCACTGATGACCTGCTCTTAAAGGAAGTGGGATGCCGGTTGGTATGGGAGGTGGAGGGGAGAGGGATGCCGGGCGGTCGGAAGTAGTTTTAGTGGAGAAGTGGGGGAGGAGTATGGGAGGGGTTGGGGGGTCAGTTGAGGAGGGGGGCGACAGGAAGTGGTCTCAAACACAGCTGGCTGTGAGAGCGAGCGAGCGGTGCGTCACAAGCAGGGACGCGAACGCACGCACAGATGCATTCCCACGCACTGCTCATTTACAGCGTTGGCACGCACGCGCCCAGCGCCTGTCCGCACGTGTTTACACATCGAAGAAAATAGTTACAACAGCTGCTGCTGCTGCTTCTGCTGCAGTATCCGTTTGTTCATCCAGGAAAGCCTCGCTGAAACTAAGCAAACTTTTCAGGAAAGTCTGGCATGGGGTCGTTGTCACTAATTCTGTTGATATTTTCTCCCACGTGTATTTCTGTTGTGTTCATTTGTGGAGCGCCTCAGAACAAATCACTAGGAATGTTCCCGATCTTGTCAATTCTTCGGAAGCTAAGCAGGTGTGAGCCTGGGTAGAGACTGGGTGGGTGACCACCATGTATAACAGGTTTTATCAGCTGAGGGGATTTGTCTTGTGGGCATCAGAGTGCAGTGCAGAGCGATCCATTGTTCTAATGGACTTCTAAGCTCCCGTGTCTATGCTTTCAACCAACCCGCACAGACCATCTTAGTGGAGTTGTGGTCAAAGAAATCCCAGTGCCTGTGCGTGTGGAGGCCCTCGTCCTGCGGTAGATTGTCAAAAGGTTTATCCATGTACACATCAGAGGCATGTATTTGGAATGCTTTCCAACTGCACAAATGTAGCAATCAAGCACCACCTTCAAACAACAGCTCAATGCTCATCTGTTCTGGCTCATTGGTTCCGGCTTACCTGTTCAGTCTCATATAAACTCACCCTTTCAGGCTCACCTGTTCAGTCTCACTCATATAAACTCACCCTTTGAGGGTGAGTTCAGGCTCTCTTTTTATAGCTCTCCTGTTCTTTCTCACCTGTACTTGCTCACCAATTCCGGCTCGCCTGTTCCCTCTCTTGTCTACCGGCTCTTCTGTTCAGGCTCTCCTGTTCTGGCTCTCCTGTTCAGGCTCTCCTGTTCAGGCTCTCCTGTTCAGGCTCTCCTGTTAAGGCTCTTCTGTTCAGGCTCTCCTGTTCCGGCTCTTCTGTTCTGGCTCACCCATCTGGCTCTTCTGTTCAGGCTCTCCTGTTCTGGCTCTTCTATTCTGGCTCTTCTGTTCAGGCTCTCCTGTGCAGGCTCTTCTGTTCAGGCTCTTCTGTTCAGGCTCTTCTGTTCAGGCTCTCCTGTTCAGGCTCTTCTGTTCAGGCTCACCCATCTGGCTCTTCTGTTCCGGCTCTTCTGTTCAGGTTCCTCTGTTCTGGCTCTTTTGTTTTGACTTTTCTGTTCTGGCTCTGTTCAGGCTCTCCTGTTCAGGTTCTCCTGTTCAGGCTATCCTGTTCAGGCTATCCTGTTCAGGCACTTCTGTTCAGGCCCACCCATCTGGCTCTTCTGTTCTGGCTTTCCTGTTCAGGCTCACCCATCTGGCTCTTCTCTTCAGGCTCTCCTGTTCAGGCTTTCCTGTTCAGGCTCTCCTGTTCAGGCTCTTCTGTTGAGGCTCTCCTGTTCAGGCTCTTCTGTTCAGGCTCTCCTGTTCTGGCTCCCCTGTTCTGGCTCTCCTGTTCAGGCTCTCCTGTTCAAGCTCACTCATATGGCTCTTCTGTTCCGGCTCTTCTGTTCAGGCTCTCCTGTTTAGGCTCTTCTGTTCAGGCTCCCCTGTTCTGGCTCTCCTGTTCCGGCTCACCCACCAGGCTCTTCTGTTCAGGCTCTCCTGTTCAGGCTCTCCTGTTCAGGCTCTTCTGTTCAGGCTCTTCTGTTCAGGCTCACCCATCTGGCTCTTCTGTTCAGGCTCTCCTGTTCAGGCTCTCCTGTTCAGGCTATCCTGTTCAGGCTCACCCATCTGGCTCTCCTGTTCAGGCTCTCCTGTTCAGGCTCACACATCTGGCTCTTCTATTCAGGCCAGCAATTCGAGGGACTCTGAGCTCTGGTTCTGTGCCTCCCGAGACCTCGTTCAAACAATGCATCTGAGTCATGAGATATGTGTGCATTCGAAATTGCGTTCATTATTATAATAATTATCTGCTCATAAAGTTTCATCACCCCTATCTGGATTTTGTCTTTCCCATGATCCTTAATGACTCGTTTGCTCATTGACCATCTCCCACTCCTGCACAGCATCTTGAGATAATTAAATTATTATAATAATATAAAATTGTATTTATCATTCGAGAAAATTGCATTTCACAATCGCCAGGAACCACAGACAAGCATGAAAGCATCCAGGCGGTGAGCCACCACTATCAACCATTTCCCAAGAATCTGCAGTCCAGTATAGATATTAAGATGTTTTCCGCCAGTTTGAGTGTTTTTTACGTGAGATGTTGCATTTGCACACATGGTTAATGTGTCTCTCGCATCTCTGATTAGCACGCTTGGCCGCGTACGGTGCTAAAGAAGTCCAAAATACATGCATGCATGTCGTTGTTGTCATACCTGTGAGGGCTGACCATTGTTGTTGTTTGTTGTTGCTGTTGTTACACAGTGGTGACGCTGTACGCAACGCTGGGCGAGGATGCAATTGCTTACGGCCTCAACGAGTCCGGGGTCACGCACGTCATCACCAGCGCCGATCTGCTCGAAAAGAAACTGCAGGTATTGCCCGTCACTTGGAATACCTTCCAAGTGTCAAGTTGGTTTTGTTTAGTTGGGTGAGAACTTCACAGAGACCAGGACAGTCTCTCATCTGAACTAAAACTAAACTGTCCTTATTTTACCAGCTAAGGCCCCACTGAGCTATATAGCACTTTTTCAGAAGTGACCTGTCCACAGATGATAGCTCAACAAAGTGGCTTATTGTCTGGAAATGTATATGTAAAGGAGAGAAATACGCGGTGCCCACAGTTAAGCGGGTGCAATGGAGGGCAAACAGGTGTTATGCTGTGACCGGAGGTTGGCGCCTAGGAGACGGGAGATGGGGGTGATGATAAGAGATTAATGGGACAACTGGCGCCGGCCTGGCGGCAGCTTAAGTGAAAGCACGTGAGGACTCGGGATGAGCAGGGGGATATAAGCAGGAGTGTGTGAGCGAGGGGAGTTGTTGCTGGGAACCAAGAATGAAGACATCTTGCCGCTGCCGCTCCAGCCGTCAATGGGACCTCAACTCTCATGCCGTCACCGGGCGGGTGTTGGCTGAACCCCCTGCCCGGGACAGACGGGTGAGCGGGTCTGAGGGAGCGTAGGTGAGGGCAGTGGTGGAGATGCGAAGTTGCTGTGTATGGAGTCGCTGAGTGCGAAGACGCTGAGTGTGGAGTCACTGAGAGCAGAGCTGCTCGGTGCAGGATAAGTGAGGTGCAGAATAGATAAGAGCGGGGAGAAGTTAAGTAAATGTGACCGTACAGTTAGTTATAGGAGTGCCTATAACTGGCGCAAGAACAGGTGAATAAAGTGTAAGCAGGTGACTTGTTACAACGTGTCGGTGTGAGTAATTTTTGAAGACAATACATATATAAGCCGAATACTCTAAACGCATATTCTTTGGGTCTTTCGGTAAAGTAATGTAGATAGGTTCAAAGAAAATAACAAAAAACTACGACGTTTCGATCGCAACACAAGCGTCCGTCATCAGGAAGAGGGGGTTGTTTACCTTTAGAAGCTAACCCCCTCTTCCTGATGACGAACGCTTGTGTTGCGATGGAAACGTCGTAGTTTTTTGTTATTTTCGTTCAACCTATCTACGTGTCTTTACCGAAAGACCCAAAGAATATGAATTCCTGCAGTCACGGAAGCTTTAAGTCAAATTTTACTCTAAACGCGTGTTTCTAAATGTGGAGGGAAAAACCTGGATGAAAATCCACATGACCACGGGGAGCACATGAAAACTCCAAATATACAGCAGGCGTCAGGGTCGGAATCGAACTCACGTCCTCCTGCATACCAAGCGAAGTAGTTAACATCTCGCCACCGCTGCACCCACTTAATTGGGATTACAAGTAGAAAAATCAACCCTTACTACAAACACTGGCGGGACCCTCCAGAAAAAGAGCGAGGCTTTCCTGGGTAAACAAGCAAAATAAGAATTATAAGTAATAATGAACCCGCGGAGTGCTTTATTTGCGCGCTGACCGTCGCTGACCTCCCCAACTCCGTGGCCGCGTCGCATCGCAGGCGATCCTCATGCAGGTGCCGCGCCTGCGCTACGTGGTGCTGGTGGACGGCACGGCGAGCGGGGTTGCTGGGGTCAAACTGCCCCGCGGCATCGAGGTGATGGGCATGAGCGACGTGGAGGAGCTCGGCGATAAACCCCAGCACCGTACGTCACGCACGCAGGGACGCACCATGTGCACACGTACACGCACTCACGTACACGCACTCACGCTCAACAGAATGAGCACAAAAACACTCGTACGCATACAATTCGTAATGGGTTTTTGGGTCGGATCATCATGTGAGAATTTACGTGTGGTTGCACCCTCTTCCACCTGACACAGTGAAATAAATAACACTGCCATGTGATGAACAAACGTGCCAATTTGTTATTGCTTCAGCTCACCGGTATTTTGGAGAGCAATCCACACCATTTGACATTTCGGAACAACCAGTATCATCGGGCAGTTTCCAGAATTGTGAAAATGTACTCCAGCCTCCGGCCTTAAATAGGCGGCACGTTTGTTCCGTGAACACTATTCATTTGGCTGTGTGGGGTGGAGGACGGTGTATAACACACATTGGCATTTTACCCACGTGGCAATGAACCCCAAGAAACACTGATTTCATAATAACAGTCGCGAAGGCCTACGTGTTAAATTACAAATATACATGTATATACACTCACACCGACTGCTAAACCACACGTAAATGTACACAAGACAAAGACCCCCTCCCCCCATGCGGGTGGTGAGTGGTGGCACGGCGGTTGACATACTGCGCTACAAACATCGCAAGCCCGAGTTTAATTCCCGCTCGCGGCCAACACCAACGACGAAAATCTGAACCAGTGAGACCGATCTCGTGCGATGAGTAAACACCTGCATTGGGGGAGACGAAGGCTTTGCCGGGCATGGTGCCGGTCACACCACCCCCTTCGTGCTACGCGCCGACCTCCGTAGGCGTTCACCTGCAATATCAGTTGCCCCAAACAGCCTTGTCGTGTGGGTTACGCAGGGAGGCGGGGTGACTGTGTTGCGTTGGGTGTGCGAGTGCAGGGCAGCGCGCGCGCGATCGTCCTGGCCCGCGCGACCTGGCCGTTGTGATGTACACGAGCGGCTCCACCGGCATCCCCAAGGGCGTGCGCATTGCCCACTCCAACCTGGTGGCGGCCATCACCGGCATGTACCTACGCATCAACGACATCTGGTGAGGCCGTCGCACCCCGCGGCAGAGAGATTGCGCCCACCCGCCACCTGTGTGCCAGTGACGCTAAGATGTGTTATATGGGTAACCGGTGCCCACGGAACTGTAGCATGGCATGCGAACTGTTGCCACGCACGCACGCTCGAAGGTATGCATGCCTGCAGGATCTCAATCACCACCCATTGTATGGGAACTTTTAGTCTTGTTCTCCACTCCTAACACTGGTGAGACAAGGCCATAAAGAAAGCTGTCTCTGGTGTAGGCGATTTGGTTTCAAAGACAATGCATCCATTATCAGAGGATGTTTGTATGCATGTGTTTCCACGGGCATGTGTGGTAAATGAAGACTTGATGCCTTGTAAATGTTATCTATTTGTTATTGCCATCAAGGGCAAAGCCTCTTCTTACCACCGGTGGTGGTCTCCATGGCGGTTGGTTGAGCAGCTCTGCTGCCCTGTGCCGTGTCGCCTCGCAGTGGAGATGACACGTATATCGGGTACCTGCCCTTGGCGCATGTTCTGGAGCTGGGCGCCGAGATGGTCTGCCTCTCCCGGGGCTGTCGCATCGGCTACTCGTCGGCGCAGACGCTCACAGACCAGGTAGGAATGGCACCAGGTATGGCCGCCCCTGCTGTCTTTGGCACCATCACGATCGCCGCCTCTGTGTGAGCTTCAACACCACCGTCGTTGTCATTGTAGCCATCGTCCTAACCCAAAGCCTGATCATCACCTTTATGTTACAGTGTTAAGAATGATCAACATTAGTGATTTCGATAATGTTGAAGTTTTGTGCAAAACTAGCTACTACTGGCCAAGACTAATTAGAGACTCTATCGAAATTGAAAGAAATCAAAATAATTTTAACCGTTCGGATAGCTACCGTCTTAGTGCTGCGTGGAAGCGAATCATCAAATAATACATAATTTAAATGCATGCCTACAAAAGGCAGCGTACTTCAATAGTTTCAAGTTCAAGTTTCATTTATTAGGTATAGCCCTGTGAGCCATGCGGCTCTTGAGTCAGGTGCAACCGCAACAAACAAAATATGAACAGAGAACATATTAAAGCGACGACGCGCAACAGAAACATCCTGGATAATCTAGCAAATCTTCCAGAAAAAAAACCCCCACCGTATTACAACGCTGTGTGCAAAAATCCCAGTGTGATGCAAGTCAAACAATAACAACCATAAGACAATTTAGATTAAAGTAATCAGGCCAACTCCGCACTTCCGCAAGAAACGTGGCTTAACCATATGTTTTCGAAATCACCAAAATAAAGCTATAAAACAATGTAACAACAGTAATCATAGGAACTGTGACCAAACTTGCAGCCATAGCTGGCAGCATGACACTCCCAGTGTATGATGTGTGAGTGAGTCAGTGGTAGTGTGAGTGAGTGTATGATGTGTGAAACAGTGTATGACGAGTGAATGGGTCAGTGGTTGTGTGAGTGAGTATATGATGTGTGAGTGAGTCAGTGTATGGTGTGTGAGTGAGTCGGTGTAAGATGAGTGAGTGTATCACGGCATCCTCCCCGCCATCACGGCCTCCTCCACGCCATCACGGCCTCTTCCACGTCATCAAGGCCTCCTTCCTGCCATCACGGCCTCCTCCATACCATCACGGCCTCCTCCCCGCCATCACGGCCTCCTCCATGCCATCAAGGCCTCCTCCATGCCATCACGGCCTCCCCCACGCTATTTTAATAAACACAATAGACAGGACGGACAATCTTCATTTGAAGCTTTCGTGAATGCAGGAATCCATACTCTTTGGTTCTTTCAGTAAAGTTACATAGGTATAAAATAAAATAAATCACGACGTTTCGGGCTGAACAAAAGTGTCCATCATCAGGTGGGAAAGCAGGAAGGACACGTTCAAAGGGCTCGCATAATGCACATGCATAATGTACGTTGCCTCAGTAATCCCGTTCCCGCCCCCCCATCATTGTGCAAGAGCGTAGAAGGGTGGTCAACACATCTATGCCTCTATATAAGGAACGAAACAGTAAGACTTAAGCTAGTTGTAATTACTGGCGAAACGTCGTACTTGGTTTGTAAATGTTGTGGCTTGGCTCTCCAACACACCAGTGTGCTGTACTAGTGACAAATTGGCAAGTTCTGTTTACATGACAACCCTTACTAGTTGGCTGTGTCGGGTGGTGGCGGGTTTGAACGACACATTTATATATTTATGCGATCTAACCCAAAAACCTCTATTATGGATAATATTGTCTCTCTTAGTATAATAATCAACATCTTAATCAGTCTCCTGTCCAGACTTGACAATCATTGTAGTCTCCTTCAGGTGTTTTCAGTTTTATCGTCCTTATTGTCTTTATTTTCACCTTCATCATCATCGTCAATCGACTTAAGTATTACTCATATCGTTATCATTGTGAGCTTTATTTTATCTCCGCTATCGTCAGCAAGCAGTCAATATGCATAACTACCATCATAGTCATCATATTTACTTTCGTTTTCATTGTTGGCATCAATTTGCATCTTGACAGTCATCACCATCTTGAGGGTCATCAACATCATCATCAGCACCAGTACCATCATCATCATCTCCATCGTTGTCTTTTGTCATTATAGTCATCACCATTGTCTTTACCATCATCTTTGTTATGGCCTTCATAATCGTCTGACAAGATCGGCCGCATTCAAAGTGATTCTGGGTAGGAATGGAGGGACTAAGTTACCCTCTCAACCCTTTCCCATTCTAAGACATTTGCATGTTGCAGGGTTGGTGTCCCGTTTGCTGCCGAATCTTCGAATGCACAAGCGGTTGGCGTTAATTTTATTTATAAAGGCATAGCGCCATTGTTTTTAAAGACATTGCACTAACCGCAGAGAACCGTAGCGACACGACCACCGCACTCTTTGATAGCTGACGCCAAACCTTGCCACACCCCCTTCCCATAATGGCCTTGTGGGAGCCTTGGTACCGATAAAGTTACTTTATATTATCATACGTGTACGTCATCGGAATGGAAACGGTTGAATGGGATTTCACTCATTTGCGATTATACATCAATAGATCAATGTTTCGATTTAAAGCTTTCGTGACTGCAGGGATTCATCTTCTGGGTTCTTTCGGTAAAGTCACATAGAATGGAGATAAAATAATAAAAATAATAATAACAGAATAAAATTCTCACGACATTTTGGCCACAACACAAGTAGCCTTCCTCAGGTGAAGAAACAGGACTGTCCCGAAGACAGCGCTTGAGTGAACCCTGCCAAGCTTGTCAGCGTCTTTTAAGCTGTGTGGGAGGAACAGAGCACCTTGACAAAGGAGTTTACATATAAATTAGCATGTAATGCGGTTGGTATTACCTTAGAGTCGCGGCATCTCTTTAGAAAGGTGAGAGACTCGATTAGCTGAGCCTTCTTATCCCGGAGTTTGTTGAAGGATCTCAAGGTTATGTGGAATCCCTCCCCGTAGAGGTGGTTAAATTTCGATTTAAAGCTGCAGTCACGAAAGCTTTAAATCGGAATTTAACCGCCTCTGAGGAAGGCTACTTGTGTTGTGGCCGAAACGTCGTGAGAATTTTATTCTGTTATTATTATTTTTATTATTTTATCTCCATTCTACGTGACTTTACCGAAAGAACCCAGAAGAGATCAATGTTTATTTGTTACACGGAAAGTCCCATTTAACCAGTTACCCAGCTAGATTGCAAGGGTGGTCCCATGGTACATGGGCACAAGAACAATGACATCAAAGTGATCTTTACCAAGAATCCAGCAACAACGGAACAGAGGTAAACACCGCGCTCTCAGAACACGCAGCACCCTACTGCAAAAAAAGAACTTGGCAAGACCCTCCTGAAAGATATTAATGAGGCTGACTCGAGGCTTTCCGTGGTAAATGAATGTAATCAAATAAAAGACTGTCGATTGGACATCTGTGAAACTACTGGACATCTGTGAAAAATATCTTTATCGTTCATCAGCTTCCTCCAGTATGAATACAAATTCTGATTCTGAAATCAAATATTCTGATAGCTCTTTTTCAGGAGCAACCTGTCCACAAATTATAGCTCAACAATGTGGCTTATCACGTGGAAATGTTAAACCCATACTCTGCCAGTTGTGAGCTGAATGCTGTCACCACACAGTGTGGTGACAGCAAAACTCTCCAGCAGTGTGTAACTGTGGTTATCCAGAACAAACCCGTACAACATATAACGATGAAATGGCTGATCCACAAATATGAAGGAGACATCACAGAGATACACTCCATGCTACTTCTGATGTGGTTGTCTGGCTTGACCACCTGAATGTTAAATTGTGGTTGTTGCTCTGCATCTACATCAGTTGTCGGAAAGAAAGACCATGTGGTGCACGCGGTGAGGCCGTGGTATCGGCTGCCTCCTGCCGTGGGACACTGTGCCGTTGCTTCCTCACTCGTTGATCCCCGCCTCCCGACGGCTGTCTCCTCTCCGCCACCCCTCAGTCGACTCGCATCAAGAAGGGCAGCCAGGGGGACGTGACCATTCTGAGGCCGACACTCATGGCTGCCGTTCCCGTGAGTATTCTGCGACGGCGAGTCTGCTATGTGTGGATCTGTGTGCACCTCCGATTGGCACGGTTGGCTTCGTACGATGCGAAAGAAGTTCAACATACATATGTAGTGAGTCCAACTGAGTCGCAGACGTTGTTCTTCAGAGGCAACACATTTATTACACAACACGTATATACAAAAGGAGTAACTGCCCCTTTGCCAGATACAGCCTAGGGTGGTGACCACCCAGCTAACTACACTACCATACAGGAGTTATGGCTACAATGGACCGGACCCCCACTCGGGTCCCGGGCCACTTCAGACATAGAACGTGGAGCTTCCAGGTTGCAGAACGAAGCGCCCCTGGTCCCTGTCAAGGACCCACCTTATATCCTCCCGGGTCGGGGCTGGCTCCGCTCTCGGCCCCGCTCACCTTCGAGAGCGTTCCAGCTCTCTCTCAATTCCTCTCGAGAGCTGTCCCCGGACACGTGATCACCCCTAGCCCCCCCACCTGGGGGCCTTTCTATGGACACTCCGGATCATGTGCCTTCGGGGTCAACCAGAGTGCCATGGCCCGGGGCAACTCTGTCCCTGGGCCGACACTCTCCCGCTCCCTCCTGTGGGAGCCCGCACTGCACGCCATTCGTGGTGCCCTCGCTATCCCAGCGCTCACCAAGCCCTGCTAGGGCTGGTACTACACCCATCTACGGGGTGTACGCGATAACGGTGCATCTCACGCCGTGCTCTTCTAGAGCCGGCCTCACGATGCTGTCCGCGACCTAAGTACATCGCACGTGACGGCCCTCCAGGGCCGGCACCGCACAGTGACATCCCCAATGTCACTGCACATACATAGACTGCGATGATATAAAACAAAAACAGGCATCTCGCCAAAAATGTGCGAACTGTGGTTATACAAGACGTACTTCATAATAATATAAATTTTAACTGAGTAACTACTCGGATATGCGAGGAGTAACCACAGATGAGTGGGAAGGCCGCAGTCAGGCGCTGATCCGGTGCTGACAATTGCCCAAGCTCTGGAGTTATCTATATATTAAGATGTTTTCAGCCAATTAATGAGTGTTTTCACGTGGGAGGAAACCGAAGCACCCAGAAAAAAAATCCACGCGTGCGACGGGGCAACACTCTACCCCGTACAGGTGGGGTCCACATTTTATCTACACCACCTTTCTCCTTGCGAGCCAGGTAGAGCCTTTCCTCGACGCCCACCCACGGGAAGGGAGTCTCGCAAATAGCGTTTTGTGCGGTGATCCACCAACCCTCGCTGCCTGCACGCTGCTGGATCACAGGCAGCCATTTATTTATTTCTTTGTTTACCTACGCAGAATGGGGCCAACTCGTAGAGAGCATCGTCTGCGTACACGGTTTCTAAGAGTAATCGGTCGGTTTAGATTGACCTCACATCTACGGTCGCTTGAGCAAAGAGTCACTGACCCTTGCCGATTGAGAAGCAGTGAATACCAGAACAAGTGTCCGTGTACGAGGTGCAAACGAGCACGGATAATCCAGAACCCGGACGCTATGCCTACGGTTATTCGAGAGTTACCTGTATCTGTGTGTAGTGGGTTCTAATCAGGCACACACCAAGACTGGGAAGCAACACGTTTATTCTCTAACACAACCAACACTATTCAACGTTCCAAGGTTAATTATGTACATTCCGAGCGACTATGTACATTACAGGTTAACTAGTAAGGTGGTGGCCACCATTCCTAACCACTTAACCACTTGAACGGATTCCCTATATGGTTGAACTAGAACTGCCGACACGTCGTGTCGTCGCGTACTGAAGAGCGAAGATCAGAGAAGACGACTTCTTCCTGGGTTGAACAGTCACGTTCTCTATCGGGGCTTGGCTTATATTTCCTGTGGCGTGACCGGGCTCCGCCTCTGGTCACACCCCCTTCTCGATCCTTCGCAAAGAGTCTGGGTCCACATCACGTGGCCCGCCCACCCCCTTCTGGGGACCCCCGTGCCCCCTCGTCCAGTGTTGTGCTCTCGCGGGTTCACCCAGACTGTCATGTCCTGACCCGACCTCCGTGACACCCGGAATCTGCCCTCTAGTGAGCCCTTGTGTATAGTACACCCACTGTCGCCATAGAACGGCCAATTTATGTCGTTACATATGTGTGGGTGGCGCAGTGGTTACACTGGTGCCCTACGGCAAGAAGGGTTCTATTCCCCACTCACGCACCTTTCTGTGTGGGGTTTGTACGTTCTCCCCCCTGTTCTGTACGGGTTTCCTCTGGGTTCTCTGGTTTCCTCCCATAGTGAACAAAACATACACTGCAACTGGCATTGGCCAAATATCCAAATACTACAAAACACCCTTCAAATTACTCATTTGGGATGGATGACATGTAGCAGCATCACCCCCCTACTGCGAAAAATTGGCAGGACCCTCGTGAAAAAGAGTTGAAACTCAGAGAGGCTTTCCTGGCTAAACAAGCTTCGTGATAATAATGTAAACTCTCGGTATTTCTCACCTCCTCGGCCACATTCTCCCAACACGGGCCATGCCCGTCTATGTCCGCTCCTTTCCTGATGCCGCCACTTGCGGCTAGAACGGTTGGCTGTGTAGGCTGCGAAAGAAGTTCAACATACACACATTGGTGCGCCCCTCGCCCTGGTCTCTACAGGAGATCATGGAGCGCATCTACAAAGGCGTCATGGGCAAGGTGCAGTGCATGAGCCTCCTGCAGAGGATCATCTTCAAGCTGGCCTACAACTACAAGCTGGAGCAGCTGGAGCGAGGCTTCGACACGCCGCTCTGCAACCGGTGACGCCTCGATTGTTGAGCAAACTGGCAACCAGTGACTTCAGTTGTTTAGCGAATTGGCAACTGGAGACACTTTAATTGTTTAGCGATCTGGCAAGCGATAACACTTCAGTTAAGCAAACTGACAACTGCTGACACTTCGGTTGATTAGCGAAGTTTCAACTTTCGAGTGAATTTGCAACTCGTGACACAAAAAAGCCACGTAAATTTCGTTTTTCATTTCGTTTTTCAAAATTCCAGCTTTGAGAGGTAACTATAATACATTTAATTTCCATTTGACTCCTACAAGGGCATATAAAAGGTGTGTCCCTCGTGTGGATGAAATAATTTTACTCAAATCAATTCAGAAGTAGTTCTGAAATGTAATCTTTTAGTAGGGCTGTTCTCTCACATAGGGTGATGCATTAATAACTGTGGAGTGGTCCGAATGGAAATGTCTTCGTTTCATGACTCGATGACTGGAAAATGCAAAAGGGATAACTAAAAGATTTGCGTTGCATTTTTAACGATGATAATTGCAATGTAAAATGCTCCACAAAATATTGGCTCTCGCTGAATGAGAGAGAACGACTCGGCGGCACGAGAAAGCACGGCCGATGAGGAAACCAGTCGCACGATGAGCTGGCACCAACAATTGGCCAATTAATGAGTCACTGGCGATCTGGCTGGGACCATCCAGCTCATTACACACGAGGGGCTGGTTTTGCATAAGCACCTGAGACAAAACTGGCCTCTTATCTATACTGGCTTGGCGATTGACATGGCTAATCATGAGCAAAATAATTCACCTTTTAAAAAAATACAGTTCAAATTTTACGTAAGGGGCAAGATTTTTTTTAACATCGCGGGCAGACAGGAGAGAGAACTTTGACGAACGCGCGACCGCGTGGATTTTCCCTGCGGTGCACAGTCTCGTGTTCAACAAGCTTTGTGCACTGCTGGGCGGCAACGTGAGACTGCTGTTGTCGGGCGCGGCGCCGCTGTCCCCGCGCACGCAGCGCTTCATGAACGTGTGCTTCTGCTGCCCTGTGGGGCAGGGCTACGGACTCACGGAGACCTGCGCTGCCGGCACTATCGCCGAGCGTGAGTCTATCCCACAACACCAGCAGCAACTCTAGTCATGAGACTGACGCATGGGTCACACAGCAGCAGTACTAATGATGAGATTTACCCATGGGTAACACAGCGGTAGTGCTGGTGGTGAGGCTGACCCACAGGTAACACAGCAGCAGCAGTGCTAGTGGTGAGGCTGACCCACAGGTAACACAGCAGCAGCAGTGCTAGTGGTGAGGCTGACCCACAGGTAACACAGCAGCAGCAGTGCTAGTGGTGAGCCTGACCCACAGGTAACACAGCAGCAGCAGTGCTAGTGGTGAGGCTGACCCACAGGTAACACAGCAGCAGCAGTGCTAGTGTTGAGACTGACCCACAGGTAACACAGCAGCAGCAGTGCTAGTAGTGAGGCTGACCCACAGGTAACACAGCAGCAGCAGTGCTAGTGGTGAGGCTGACCCACAGGTAACACAGCAGCAGCATTGCTAGTGGTGAGGCTGACCCACAGGTAACACTGCAGCAGCAGTGCTAGTGGTGAGGCTGACCCACAGGTAACACAGCAGCAGCATTGCTAGTGGTGAGGCTGACCCACAGGTAACACAGCAGCAGCAGTGCTAGTGGTGAGGTAGACCCACAGGTAACACAGCAGCAGCAGTGCTAGTGGTGAGGCTGACCCACAGGTAACACAGCAACAGCAGTGCTAGTGGTGAGGCTGACCCACAGGTAACACAGCAGCACCAGGGTTATTGAGTATGACCTAAGACAGCAGTAAACACATAATTTGGTGATCAAGAGTTGGCAGTGGTGCACAAGCACAAATAACAAAATAGTACGTATTCATGAATTATACTGTGGCCTTAAAGGAAAAGTATATCATAGGCAACGATTCGGCGAATGTTCCTTCTTCATAGCACAAACATATAAGAGACCAGAGATATCTGAGTGGATAATAAGAGTTGGACTTTACACTGTGGGGCCTGATACGAATTAAAAATTATTATTGACCCATGAACTCAGCAGCACAAGGATTAAGACTTACTCAATGGTATCAGCAACATTAAGAGGTAAAACAACAGCAGCAGATGTTTCAGTGTTCATGGGTCCTGCCCACAGCAGCAACAATAACATTGAGTCTGAAAAAATAAGAAAAGGTTTTACCCTTTCTGGCAATAGAACAGGTGTTGAGATGTTCAAACACCAAACAGAAACCTTTTGCAAGGAATCAGTGAGAAGCAAAACAGCAGCAGCAACTGGGTTAGTGAGTCTTACTCATGATAACAGCAATATTAATGAGGCTTAACAAATGGTGTGAGATGTACACATCATCCATAATACAGGTTTTTTTTGGGGTCAGATCGCGTTAATATAAATGTGTCGTTAAACCCGCTACCACCCGACACAGCCAATTAGTAAGGTTTTGCACGTAAACAAGACATGCCACTCGTTCAGCACGCCGGTATATTGGAGAGTAAAACCCACACATTTACAATTGTAAACATCATTCTACTGGACATTTGTGAAAACGAGCTTCATAGCTCATCAGATTCTTCCGGGTCTAAATGAAGATTCTGATTCGGAGCCAGGAGCCACGCTGCATTGCCACAGGACTGGAATTAAGGGGTGCTTGCTAGATGCACTTGCCTGTATGGCTATTTGGGAGACCATTGTCGGTGTGTGTGTGTGTGTGCGTGCACGGTATTGTAGCGGTTGATGCTGGCGCTACAAACCCAACAACGCGAGTCCGATTGCCACTCAGCCAAATACCAGTGATGGCGACCCAAGTTGGATTCCTGCTCACGGATAACACTAGTGACGATTATCTGAACCAGTCCTGGGCATCCCCTAGTTCAACCCGGCCTCAAATTAATACCTGGTGTGGTGTGTAAACATCGCCACTCGGGGGACAATGGTGGCTGGGCGTGGTGCTGGGCACTCACCCCTGTGCCCGCCTTCATAGGTGCTCACTAACAGGACTTGTCCTCACAGTCTATACGGGGGGGTATCTTTGTCTAACTTGCAGCTTCTTTGCCTGCCAGTACAAGACTACAGCACGGGCCACGTTGGAGCTCCGCTATCCTGCTGTGAGATCCAGCTACGCAACTGGGAGGAGGGTGAGTTGTTGTGTTCCTGCGCGCGTGCGCGCATAACACACACGCACACGATATGGCCCGGTTCCAAATACCAGACGCCTGTGCACCTGGCCAGGCATGGTGGCACACGCCTGTAGTCCAGCGACTTACAAACAGGGTTGGTTGTTCATGCGCAGATGGAGTTGCCTTCATGTGTGAAGCACCCATGCCTGTGAGGGCTGTGAGCAAGAGTACAGCAAGTAGGTTTCAGACAGACTGGAAGCAACGGAGTTTTCTCACCACTCGTGTCTGGATTTTCTCCAGGTATTATGGTACATCCTTTTGCTAAATAATTGTTGACTTAATATAAATAAATAAACTAACCATGCCTGTTTTATTGCCGAGTTAAAATACATTTTGTGTCGATGAGTGGCTTTTTTCCACCAACATCTTCCATCAGCATTGGTGAAGAAGGACAAATCCTGAGTCTCAATGGTAACTTGTAGGCCCATTAAAGAGATGCCACGAGCTGGCGTTTGTTTTACCGTAATCCCTCGTTTAACGCGGCAGATGCTTTCGTGAAAAGTGCCGCGTTAAGCGAAAATTCAGTTTCCCCATCATAAATAATGGAACGATAAAATTTGGCAAGGTACGATGTATGCACATGCGGTAAGATGGCGGAACAAATAATTGAGATGAGGTACACCACCGTGTACTGTATCATTCCACGCGTATACCCAGAATTCCTATGCCGCTCAGCCGCACAGCTCAAGAAGGTAGTTTGTCGTTGACCACTCAGAAACCGCGTTGTAAAAATGGGCGCGTTCCGTGTTGGGCGAAAAGTCTTTTCTCATAGAAGAAGCACGTTTTTGCGAAAACGCATTGTGTGAACGGCTGTTTAAGCGAGGACTACCAAAGGCCTTTCATCCCAGATATCTTTCAGGAAAGTCTAGCAAATTTGTACTAAATCAAAATTTGCGGTCTTAGTTGTTAAGTCTAGGATCCTACGCAAAAACTTAATGAATATTACATCTGAATACGATATATATGTTTTTTCTTGTTTATTGTGTGTTTGTGGGTGGCTGGATGGGAATGTATGTGTGTGGGTGGAGCGTGAGTGTGTAGTGGTTAGCGCACCGTAAATTTTGAGCCGGTTCTGGGCCTCCCCTAGGTCGACTCAGCCTTAATCGAGTACCTGGTACATTGTATAAATAGCAGTACTGGAGACACAGGCGGCCAGGCGTGGTGCTAACCACACCACTCCCCTCGTGTGTCATTGGTGCTCGCTAACAGCACTTGCTCCAACTGTCTATGTAAGCTACATGGGGGATCTTTATCTTTGGGTATATGTGAGGGGTGCAGCGATTTGCACACCACTTCATCCTCGTTATCTGGATTTGAGCCACGGACTTGGAGAATTGGATCTGAACCTGTGTCTGGGCCTCTCCTAGGTTAACGTGGACTTAAATATGAGTGCCAGATGTACTTTGGAAATATCGACAATGGGAATACAATGGGAATACAAAGGTCGTGATGCTGGCTGCAACACCTTCTCTTGTACCATGCCGGCTTTAAGAGGTGCTCGCTAATGCTTGTCCCAGCGGTCTATGGGGCTGAACTGGGGGAGCTGTGTGTGTGTGCTCGCGTCGCATGGGCTCTTTGCCCACTTGTTTGAGTGAAGTTCAAGGCCGTATGTTCCTCCCAACTCTAAACATCCCCCCATGGAGGCCTCCCCCCTACCCCCGCCACCCTCAGCCCAACACATGGCCTCTGTTTATATCCTCAAAGGAAAAATAAAGCGCTAAACATCCTCTGCTCACTTTCATAGCAAAGCGCAACTCAAAAACAAACATTTAAAGATATATTTATGTTTTATTTGTCTTTCGCATTCTCGGCCCCAACCCCCCTTCCTCCCTCCCCACCGTATTCCACCCACCCCATTTGAATGCCTCATCGCACTTCTGTGTCCACTCCACTCCTTCTCTGGTCTCTCTGTGTGCTTTGAAGAAGGATGCCCATTATTTACTTTCCAGACCACAGAGGGTTATTCTGTTAAGTTTTTGTATTTTTTGTGCTTGTGCACCACTGGCAATGCAACGACATCACTAAATACTCTCTATGCATGCCATAGACGTATGGCCTCTTTATATGTTGGTTACCGGCACATTCCGACTTGGTACGAATGAACTCCTTCCTGTGCCGGGCTCTCAGAAACTTAACTTAACGTTTTACTGTTCCCCGCTTTCCATGCATGGATATTCCGTTATTGCTGCAGGCCTGCCAGCAGAGATGCTGGTGTCCCCAGTGCTTTGACGTTTACTGTTTTGTTGAACGAGAACGAGATGTCTCGCGAACACAAGGCAGATTTGAAACACGGCAGAACCAATACCTCTGCCTTGGCTGATCACTGTTATAACTCAATGGGCTCGCACAATATTGTTTTTTCCGAGACCAAGGTACTCTGCAAACCTTCGCGCTACCATCAAAGATTTGTCCATGAAGCAATCCAGATACATAAACACAGAGACAATTTCAACCGAGAAGATGGGTATAAGCTGAGCAATCATTGGAAGGCCGTTATTGATCAATGCAAAGTCGTAACTTGCTGTGGTGCTTCCATTCTTCCCTGCCGTTTGGCTGTTTATCTCCGACTCTCTGAGTTGCATTGCCCTGTTGGGTGCCTCTGCATTAACGGGCTGGGGTCTCACTAACATGGCCACCTCTGTTCCCTTAGCCTTGATGTATCGATGGTTCTGGCTGTGTGATGGTCTGTGTGTCACACTGGCGCGACCACCGTTGCGGTGGTTCCCTTGCGTGGACGCGCTTGCCTCTCACAGCGCAGTTGGCAGTGCTGCAGCTTGTGTTACACATAGACATGACATTAACTTGCTAATCCCCCTAATCTCACCCATCAACATAGTGATAATCTCCCATTAACACTTATGTTGTGCGCATATGCGGGAACGGTGCTCTTGTGCGGCAACAGAAGCTCATTTCATGCTAATCTCTCTCCGTAATCTCTCTCTCCCTAATCTCCCCCACTAACACAACTGACGTGCTTGCGTCCGGGGATGGAATTCCTTTCCAGCTCAGACCCCACTTGCTTGCCCATCGCCACGTATATAACATATTGTTGTTGTAGCTGCTCTCTCGCTGGTTCAATAGTTCAACTGCTGAATTAATATTTCCGCCTGAGGTCGACCGCTTGTGTTGTGATTGAAATGTCGTAATATATTATTTTTTATTTTATTTTCCTACCTATGTGACTTTACCGAAAGAACCAAAGAGTGTTTTGTTTATCTCTCTCCCATTCGATTGTCAGTCATGAGCCAGTGGTGGATATTCTACATTCTCATGGAGGGCAGGGCCCATTATTCCCATAAGGTGCCCACATGTATGGGGAGATAGACCCTGAACTCAGCTGTCCAGCATGTCAGAAGCCTACTTGCTTTGCTGCCTTCTATACATTCCATTTCACTGTTCTGCAATTAGCTGTCTCATGCAATTGATGGCTCCATCTCTGTGTGATCCACCAATCATGTGGTGTTCGGCATGGTGTCCCGACGTTAAACTGCACTTGATGAGAGCTTCTCTTGGAAACTAATTAAATGAAATTGGGCATTTAGACGGTAACATGTTGGACCCATAATCCAAAAGGCCTTTTTTTACCAGTGTTTCCTATCAGCATTTGGTTAAGCATGAAAGAACCTTCCCCCAGTTTTTATTTTACAGGTTTACGCAAAATGAAGCGGGTTCATACCAGAAAGTGAACAAAGCCAAAGCGAGGCGTACATGTCTCGGGCTTGGAGCGAAACGTCGGACATTGCGCCGAACGAAGCGCAGTACAACCCAGGAACACATCGGAAGAGCTGAGGGAAAGGCCCCCCTGGAGGAGAGGGACGGCAAAGACACCGACTGAGTTGCAGTTGGAGATTGAACGTTACATTGTAGTTTGAGATTGAACATTACATTGTAGTTTGAGATTGCACATTGCATTGTTGTTGAAGATTGAGCATTACATTGGAGTTGGAGATTTAACATTACATTGTAGTTGGAGATGGTACATTGCATTGTAGTTGGAGATTTAACATTACATTGTAGTTGGAGATGTAACATTACATTGTAGTTGGAGATTGTACATTGCATTGTAGTTGGACATTTAACATTACATTGTAGTTGGAGATTGAACATTGCATTGTTGTTGGAGATTGAACATTGCATTGTTGTTGGAGATTTAACATTGCATTGTAGTTGGAGATTTAACATTACATTGTAGTTTGTAATTTAACATTGCATTGTAGTTGGAAGTTGAACGTTGCATTGTAGTTGGAGATTGAACATTGCATTGTAGTTGGAGATTGAACATTGTATTGTAGTTGGAAGTTGAACGTTGCATTGTAGTTGGAAGTTGAACGTTGCATTGTAGTTGGAGATTTAACATTGTATTGTAGTTGGAGATTGAACATTGTATTGTAGTTGGAGATTTAACATTGCATTGTAGTTGGAGATTGAACATTGCATTGTAGTTAGAGATTTAACATTGCATTGTAGTTGAAGATTGAACATTGCATTTTAGTTGGAGATTTAACATTACATTGTAGTTGGAGATTTAACATTGCATTGTAGTTGGAGATTTAACATTGCATTGTAGTTGGAGATTGAACGTTGCATTGTAGTTGGAGATTGAACGTTGCATTGTAGTTGGAGATTGAACGTTGCATTGTAGTTGGAAGTTGAACGTTGCATTGTAGTTGGAGATTTAACATTGTATTGTAGTTGGAGATTTAACATTGTATTGTAGTTGGAGATTGAACATTGTATTGTAGTTGGAGATTTAACATTGCATTGTAGTTGAAGATTGAACATTGCATTGTTGTTGGAGATTGAACATTGCATTGTTGTTGGAGATTTAACATTGCATTGTAGTTGGAGATTTAACATTACATTGTAGTTTGAAATTTAACATTGCATTGTAGTTGGAAGTTGAACGTTGCATTGTAGTTGGAGATTGAACATTGCATTGTAGTTGGAGATTGAACGTTGCATTGTAGTTGGAGATTGAACGTTGTATTGTAGTTGGAGATTGAACATTGTATTGTAGTTGGAGATTGAACATTGTATTGTAGTTGGAGATTGAACGTTGCATTGTAGTTGGAGATTGAACATTGTATTGTAGTTGGAGATTGAACGTTGCATTGTAGTTGGAGATTGAACGTTGCATTGTAGTTGGAAGTTGAACGTTGCATTGTAGTTGGAGATTTAACATTGCATTGTAGTTGGAGATTGAACATTGCATTGTAGTTGGAGATTGAACATTGCATTGTTGTTGGAGATTGAACATTGCATTGTTGTTGGAGATTTAACATTACATTGTAGTTTGAAATTTAACATTGCATTGTAGTTGGAAGTTGAACGTTGCATTGTAGTTGGAGATTGAACATTGCATTGTTGTTGGAGATTGAACATTGTATTGTAGTTGGAAGTTGAACGTTGCATTGTAGTTGGAAGTTGAACGTTGCATTGTAGTTGGAGATTTAACATTGTATTGTAGTTGGAGATTGAACATTGTATTGTAGTTGGAGATTTAACATTGCATTGTAGTTGGAGATTGAACATTGCATTCTAGTTGGAGATTTAACATTGCATTGTAGTTGAAGATTGAACATTGCATTTTAGTTGGAGATTTAACATTACATTGTAGTTGGAGATTTAACATTGCATTGTAGTTGGAGATTTAACATTGCATTGTAGTTGGAGATTGAACGTTGCATTGTAGTTGGAGATTGAACGTTGCATTGTAGTTGGAGATTGAACGTTGCATTGTAGTTGGAAGTTGAACGTTGCATTGTAGTTGGAGATTTAACATTGTATTGTAGTTGGAGATTTAACATTGTATTGTAGTTGGAGATTGAACATTGTATTGTAGTTGGAGATTTAACATTGCATTGTAGTTGAAGATTGAACATTGCATTGTTGTTGGAGATTGAACATTGCATTGTTGTTGGAGATTTAACATTGCATTGTAGTTGGAGATTTAACATTACATTGTAGTTTGAAATTTAACATTGCATTGTAGTTGGAAGTTGAACGTTGCATTGTAGTTGGAGATTGAACATTGCATTGTAGTTGGAGATTGAACGTTGCATTGTAGTTGGAGATTGAACGTTGTATTGTAGTTGGAGATTGAACATTGTATTGTAGTTGGAGATTGAACATTGTATTGTAGTTGGAGATTGAACGTTGCATTGTAGTTGGAGATTGAACATTGTATTGTAGTTGGAGATTGAACGTTGCATTGTAGTTGGAGATTGAACGTTGCATTGTAGTTGGAAGTTGAACGTTGCATTGTAGTTGGAGATTTAACATTGCATTGTAGTTGGAGATTGAACATTGTATTGTAGTTGGAAGTTGAACGTTGCATTGTAGTTGGAGATTGAACATTGTATTGTAGTTGGAGATTGAACATTGTATTGTAGTTGGAGATTGAACGTTGCATTGTAGTTGGAGATTGAACATTGTATTGTAGTTGGAGATTGAACGTTGCATTGTAGTTGGAGATTGAACGTTGCATTGTAGTTGGAAGTTGAACGTTGCATTGTAGTTGGAGATTTAACATTGCATTGTAGTTGGAGATTGAACATTGCATTGTAGTTGGAGATTTAACATTGCATTGTAGTTGAAGATTGAACATTGCATTTTAGTTGGAGATTTAACATTACATTGTAGTTGGAGATTTAACATTGCATTGTAGTTGGAGATTTAACATTGCATTGTAGTTGGAGATTGAATGTTGCATTGTAGTTGGAGATTGAACGTTGCATTGTAGTTGGAGATTGAACGTTGCATTGTAGTTGGAAGTTGAACGTTGCATTGTAGTTGGAGATTGAACATTGCATTGTAGTTGGAGATTGAACGTTGTATTGTAGTTGGAGATTTAACATTGCATTGTAGTTGGAGATTGAACGTTGCATTGTAGTTGGAGATTTAACATTGCATTGTAGTTGGAGATTTAACATTGCATTGTAGTTGGAGATTGAACATTGCATTGTAGTTGGAGATTGAACGTTGCATTGTAGTTGGAGATTTAACATTACATTGTTGTTGGAGATTTAACATTACATTGTAGTTGGAGATTGAACGTTGCATTGTAGTTGGAGATTGAACGTTGCATTGTAGTTGGAGATTGAACGTTGCATTGTAGTTGGAGATTGAACGTTGCATTGTAGTTGGAGATTTAACATTGTATTGTAGTTGAAGATTTAACATTGCATTGTAGTTGGAGATTTAACATTGTATTGTAGTTGGAAGTTGAACGTTGCATTGTAGTTGGAGATTGAACATTGCATTGTAGTTGGAAGTTGAACATTACATTGTAGTTGGAGATTGAACATTGCATTGTAGTTGGAGATTGAACATTGCATTGTAGTTGGAGATTGAACATTGCATTGTAGTTGGAGATTGAACATTGTATTGTAGTTGGAAGTTGAACGTTGCATTGTAGTTGGAGATTTAACATTGCATTGTAGTTGGAGATTTAACATTACATTGTAGTTGGAGATTTAACATTGCATTGTAGTTGGAGATTTAACATTACATTGTAGTTGGAGATTTAACATTGCATTGTAGTTGGAGATTTAACATTGCATTGTAGTTGGAGATTGAACGTTGCATTGTAGTTGGAGATTGAACATTGTATTGTAGTTGGAGTTTGAACATTGCATTGTAGTTGGAGATTGAACGTTGCATTGTAGTTGGAGATTGAACATTGTATTGTAGTTGGAGATTTAACATTGCATTGTAGTTGGAGATTGAACGTTGCATTGTAGTTGAAGATTGAACGTTGCATTGTAGTTGGAGATTGAACATTGTATTGTAGTTGAAGATTGAACGTTGCATTGTATGTGGAGATTGAACGTTGCATTGTATGTGGAGATTGAACATTGTATTGTAGTTGGAGTTTGAACATTGCATTGTAGTTGGAGATTGAACATTGCATTGTAGTTGGAAGTTGAACATTACATTGTAGTTGGAGATTGAACATTGCATTGTAGTTGGAGATTGAACATTGTATTGTAGTTGGAGATTTAACATTGCATTGTAGTTGGAGATTGAACGTTGCATTGTAGTTGAAGATTGAACGTTGCATTGTAGTTGGAGATTGAACATTGTATTGTAGTTGGAGATTGAACATTGCATTGTAGTTGGAGATTGAACATTGTATTGTAGTTGGAGATTTAACATTGCATTGTAGTTGGAGATTGAACGTTGCATTGTAGTTGAAGATTGAACGTTGCATTGTAGTTGGAGATTGAACATTGTATTGTAGTTGAAGATTGAACGTTGCATTGTATGTGGAGATTGAACGTTGCATTGTATGTGGAGATTGAACATTACGCTGTGTGAATGCCGTACCGCCCCTCCCTTACCAGGCGGCTACACAGTGAACGACTCCCCGAACCCGCGGGGGGAGGTTCTTATCGGGGGTCCCAACGTGACGATGGGTTACCTGAACAATGAGGAGCTGACGCGCGATAGCTTCTACACGGACGCGAGGGCACAGCGCTGGTTCTGCACGGGCGACATCGGCGAGATCCTGCCCAGCGGCTGCCTCCGACTCATAGGTGACGTGCAGCTACGCACCACGTGCGACTATGCGTGTGTGCACGTGTGTGAGTGAGCGTGTGCGAGTGAGCGCGCGTAGGTTAGCGCGTTGCACTCTGAACCCGGCGACTTGAGTTCGATTCCCGCTCACGGCAAACACGAGTGAAAATGATCTGAACCGGTCCTGGGCCTTCCCTGGGTCGACTCGGCCTCAAAGGAGTACCTGGTTCAGTGTAATGCGTAGGCTTTCGCGACCAATATCATCCATAATAGAGGTTTTTTTTTGGGTTAGATCATGAAAATATGTGTCGTTAAAACCCGCCACCACCCGACACAGCCAACTTGTAAGGGTTGTCACGTAAACAGAACGTGCCAATTCGTCACTAGTACAGCACACCGATGTGTTAGAGAGCCAAGCCACAACATTTACAATCTGGGTACAACGTTTCGCCAGTAATTACAACTAGCTTCATCAGGCGACAGACATATTTTTGGAAAAGTCTTAACTGTTTCGTTCCTTATATAGAAGCGTAGATGTGGTGACCACGTTTTTGCGCTCTTGCGCCAAGTGGGGGGGGTTACTGAGTCAACGTACATTATGCATGTGCATTATGCGAGCCCTTTGATCTTGTCCTTCCTGTCTATTGTGTGTCTTAAAATATCCATACCAACGATAATCCCTATTGAAGTATGCTGCCCTGAATTGGCATGCATTTAAATAATATATTATTTGATGATTCGCTGCCACGCAGCACTAAGGCGGTAGCTATCCGAACGGTTAAAATAATTTTTACTTTCAATTTCGATAGATTCTCTAATTAGTCTTAGCCAGTAGTAGCTAGTTTGCACAGTGCTTTATTATCAAAATCAATTGAGAGTCCTTGTTGGCATGCGTGTTCTGCTACTGCTGACAGTTGTATTTGTGAGAATTTAATATTTATCTTATGTTCTTTTAGTCTCGTGCTGATCATTCGTCCTGTTTGCCCAACATAACATTTACCACACGTGCAGTTAATCCTGATCAAAGGGCTCGCATAATGCACATGCATAATGTAATCCTCACCCCATTTAGCGCAAGAGCGCAGAAGCGTGGTCACCACACCTATGCCTCTATATAATGAACGAAACAGTGAAGACTTCTCCACAAATCTGTCTGTCGCCTGATGAAGCTAGTTGTAATTACGAGCGAAAGGTCGTACTCAGATTGTAAATGTTGTGGCTTGGCTCTCCAACACACTGGTGTGCTGTACTAGTGACGAATTGGCATGTTCTGTTTACATGACAACCCTTACTAGTTGGCTGTGTTGGGTGGTGGCGGGTTGTAACAACGCTTTTATATATTTACGCGATATAATCCAAAAAATCTCTTATGGATGGTTCAGTGTGTAAACATCACCGCCGGGGAGACAAAGGCGGCCGGGCGTAGTGCTGGCCACCCACCCCGTGCCGGCCTTCATAGGTGCTCGCTAACAGCACTTGTCCTAACAGCCTCTTGAGGCTATAAGGAGAAGCTTTGTCTTTGTTTGTGTGTGCGAAGGTTCTCCCTGTGTGAACAGAGTTGACCTCACCTCAGTATGTGCTTTTTACCCTCTCCGTTAACCCCAATATTTTTCCATGGTTGCCAGTCAGCTGAAACGTCAAGTTCGGAATCATCGCTTGCCCCTGTGACTCTTCAATAAGAGTTAACGACTTGTGGTGGTGGTGGGGGTGTCTGCTGTGTACACTCGCGTAGACCGTAAGAAGGACCTGGTGAAGCTGCAGGCCGGGGAGTACGTGTCTCTGGGCAAGGTGGAGTCCGCTCTTAAGAACTGCCCCATCATTGACAACATCTGTGCCTATGCCAGCAGGTGAGGGCCAGGCTGCAGTGACACAATTTGGGGCGGCAGGGTGTTGGTAGCGGTAACACTTTATGCCTTACAGGAAGAAGGTCCTGAGTTTTATTCCCACCTCGGACATCTTTCTGTGTGAAGTTTGTGTGTTCTCTTCCTGTTCTGCTGTGCGAGGTTTTTGTGTTCTGTCCCTGTTCTGCTGTGTGAAGTTTGTGTGTTCTCCCTGTTCTGCTCTGTGAAGTTTGTGTTCTCTCCCTGTGTTGCTCTTCTCTCCTCCACCCCCCCGGGCACTCGCTCAGCGATCAGACCTACGTCATCTGCTTCGTTGTTCCCAACTTGAAGATGCTGACGGAGCTGGCCGGCCAGCTCGGCATCACCGGCTCCTGGGAGGAGATCTGCAACCACCCAGCCATGGAGCATGAAATGCTCAAGGAGATCAGCGCCGCTGCCACCAACGGTACGCGGCCCTCGCACTCCTTCTTCCCCCCCTCCCCCCAGTGCAGTTATTAATCTCAAACTCAGGATGCTCGTTAGGAGGAATTTTACGGCCCGTGGAATTGAAGAGGTCGATTTTTTTAATCTGAATTTCCTTTTGATATGAAGAGTTTTGCTGATTGGTAGCATTTCTGAACAGTGTCACCGTCGATCTAGCCGAACGAGGATCGATGGCTTCCGCCCTCTTGCCCTTGGAGTGGATCGTTAGGGCCAGGTCGCACAAATGTTCGGTTACCATCGCCTCGCTGCTGGCATTTCCCTGCGAAAACGATCTTACGAGTCGTTTGCCAGTCACGTCGGTCGTATGGCTCCTCAAATTACGTACAAAAATTAAGCCTGATACCTAATGTGTCATGTGTATTTCAATTAAAACTAAACTATTAACTATTTTTTTTATTTTACCAGCTTAAGGCCCACTTAGCTCCATATCTCTTTTTCAGAAGTGACCTGGCTACAAATTATAGCTCAACGAAGTGGCTGATCATCTGGAAATTTACATCAGCCAAATACTCTAAATGCAAATATGGAGGGAAAAACCAGACGACCTGGAGAAAAATCCACACGACGACAGGGAGAGAGACACGCAAACTCCAAATATACAGCAGGCGTCAGGGTCGGGATCGAACCCAACGACTTGTTGCATACCAGGCGAGGTAGTCAACATCTCCTAGCCACCGTGGCGCGCCATTTACATGGACGGCCCTTGAACCAGCGCACACTCCTGGTCAATGGCCTCCCCAAGCCGTGCAGCTCGTGGTGGTTGGTGACGGTTTGTGGGGAGCATAGTCGTGGAAGCAGAGTACCCTACAATAACGGATTTTGCTGAACTTGCTCTCCGCTGTCCACAACATAACCCCACAGCAGGCCCTGGAATGTCAGTCGGTGTTATCACGGTGGTCACCCATCCAAGCACTGTCCAAGGTCAAGTGTTCTTATCGTCAGAGGTCTTGATCAGATTCCAGGTCAATTGGTTGTCTGCTAAAATAATGTATTTGTTCGTGGAGTTAAATGTTTATCATTTTATGTTTAAGTCAACAGATATGACGTATCGGGAAAGATCTGGCATTAGTTATTAAATACACATGTTTAACACCACAGATCGAGTGCTCGGAATCTTTCAGAAGATATTCGATGCTGTGAAAGGTTATTTCAGTCACCAATTACTGCTAAAACCCAAAACGTCTAACCGTCGGTTTCACATAGTTGGGAATATTCGAGCTCCGAATTAAAATGTCTGAATGATCGAGAGACCTGTGACGCTTTCCCCTAGCGTAGATAAAAGTGCCTATTCAAATTAACTTCAGAGTAGTTCTGTGACATTTTCTATTCTCTCATACACAAGGGGTTGCACTTCTCGCTATGCGAGCTCTAATTGAGGATTTATCTAACCCACTAAGTGATGCGAACAGCACAGTGTACACTACTGGAATCAGAAAACACAGCTTTGCCGAAAGCATGCTGAACAAAAAAAAGGCATTTCAGTTTCATCCAAAGCAATCTGCAGCCCTTAATAAAAACTGTTTTGACATTTGTGATCGTTAAGCGAGCATGCACCGCGTTAGCATAGGCGCACTCTCAACGGTCTCGTCCCCCCCCCCCCCCCCGCTTTTGTTAAAACGCTCGATGTGGAAAGTTTACAATGTCTCTAGAAATAGTCGGGGCTGCTCGGCCTGGCGGGTCTCTTTCCCAGGAGGCAGCAACCAGACGTCACGAGAGCTGCGGTTTGTTGCTTGGCCGAGAAAGAAGGACCTCGTGTTTCTCAGCCCCATACAGACAAACAAAGTGTGCTTGCGCAGATGACCAGCGGGTAGTAGCAGTAACTACGATAAATTGCCAAAGGCAGTCCAGCTTCAAGGAAGACACGGTCCAAATAACAGTTAGCCCGGGTATATATATATACACACACACCCTGGAGATGTATTCTACGCTATCTGACACAGGTCTGAAGATTTGTTTGTGAGAAAATAATCTTCTAAAGTTACGGTCAGATGCACTCTTCTGACATGCGTGGCGTCACTCCCGTACTTTGTTGCGGTGATGTCACTGCGTGAACAAAGCTTCTCAGGTGCGTAACGACGAGACGAGAGCTATCCGCATGCGTCGCGTCTTCTATTGGTGAGCGCGTGGGCAAGGCTGGCGCTTGGTTGTCCACTTGCTCGCCTTTGTGTTGACCAATACTGTGCCCCGCTTGTGTTGCCAGTGCCCCTGGAGGCCACACAACAGGAATCGGACAATGGGAACAAACGGCAGCAAGAGGAGAGGTTGGGGGGTGTTAAGGTGTTTTGGAAAGGGAAGGCTGCATTTGGCTCTCGCGCCGCGCTTTCCGTTGAGCGGCGAGCGTGCGACCATGCGACGTGCCTTTTGAAGTCTGGGGGGGTCCCGTGGTTTGAGGGGGGGCGTAGGTAACCGCCCCCCCTCGCACAAACTCCGGTCATTCTCGCAGCAGCGGCTTTTGGCTAGCCATCGAACGAATATGGTTACTACATTGCGCGCTTTCAGGTGCGCTTCTGTGGCTGTCTGGAATGCTCTTCCGATATTATGAAGCTACTGGAGCTATGCACTTATAAATTATCTAGATTGAAAACTAATTTCTTTGAAACTACTTTTGTGTTTAGTTTGTTGTCCTTCCCGCGCACCTCAGATTAGCACGGTTGGCTACATACGGTTCGAAAGAAGTTCAACATACATACGTACATAATGGGGAGCGGAGCGAATGACGCCAGGATTGTGCTGTCCCCGGTAATAGGGGTTGGTTTAATTGCAGATGTCAGCATCTCATTGCTTTAATGAGCAATTAAGCATCGCCTGGTCAACACTAGGGTTTTGGGTTGCTTTTCATGTTTTCAGGGTTCCAAACTGCGTTCTGTGACGAGCTTTGCAAATCGTTAAAATACCTGGACAGTTCCATGATTGAGCTCCTCCGGTAGGCAAGGATGTGTTGGCTGGGTCATGTAACAACATGGCCCAACAGCATTTGCGGGTTAAATGGGCATGGCATGGATTAGAGCCAAGATGGGCCGATTTGGTACACAGCAGCTTTAAGTTGAGTGGACGTGCCAATGAGTGGTGCCAATGGTGTCGAGATCGACCTCTGTGGAGGAGGCCCAAATGGAACATATACACCGGTTAGGTTCAGCAGTTTTTTCTTGCTGTGGTTGTCCCACCTGATGATGATTGCTTGTGTTGCGATCGAAACGTCGTGATCTATATTTTTTCTACCTTCGTGACTTTTCCGAAAGAACCAAAGAGTATGGATTCCTGCAGTCACGAAAGCTTCAAATCAAGCATAAACATTCAAGCTGGCCTGCCTATGAGCCATCCCGGGTTTAACCAGGCTCGATTGTCTGAGGGGCTCACAAATCCTTGAACGATTTTGACACAGGCCCAACGATGAGCTCCTCTGGCAGGCAAGGCTGCTTTGGCTGGGTCATGTAGCCCGCATACCCAACCATCGCATGCGCAAACAGCTTTGTTTGGCTGGGTAGAGGAGGCTAAACAGGCACGGCATGGGCTAGAGAAGAGATGGACTGATGCAGTACAAGAGGATATGGAGCTGTATGGACTTGCCGATGACTAGTTCCTGCGGTGTCGAGATAAACCGTTTTGGAGGAGGCTCGTGAAGGATGCTACTGAGCAGTTGGAGATGGTCGCCCTCCTGCAACAACGGAGAGTGGAGGAGCAATGCTCACAACAATGAGCGGAGTGCCGGGCAGCTAAAGCACAGCAAGTTGACACAGTCGGGAGCACAGGTGGTGCATCTGCCAGTCATTTCAATTGGTCAACCCATAACACCTCTGGGTCTGTCCCGTAACCTCGTGCCAGCGAGCATTCCACACTTAACGTGGTCTGAAAGCGCACCTAGTCTGGCACAAGCACCGTGGTGACATCACCACCACATAGTGTTGAATGGCAGCTGTTGTTTTTGAGTTTTCAGCTATGCGTCTGTGTATGCGTGCATGTGGCTCACACTCTATGCTGTTAATGAAAGGCACTGACTTGGATTCAGTTCCCCAGCCACGTAATACACGTTAGTGACAAGAGGGATCGGAACTTGCACTCGGTCTTGGCTCGCATCAGGCACAGCCTTCAGTGAATATCTGGTGTGGTATGCAAACATAAGCGCTGGGGATACAAAGGCAGCCGGGCATGGCAATGGCCACACCGTTGCTCCGTGTGTCATGCCGTTATTCAAGACTGTTCGCTCACACGCTCTTTCCTATGGCCTATAAAGATAAACGGAGGCTCTGCGTGTTTGTGTTTGAAAACACACTCGGCAGAAGAGAGGTGGTCGGGTTGATGTGGAGGGGGGGGTGGGAAATTTCCCCGGAGAGCGATGTCACAACAATTATTTCCGGGAGGAAGCACGGGCGGTGGGGGTGGAGGCACCCGGAGGCCTTTAAATACTCGACGTGACGCAGAGAATGCCGCATTTCCTGTGCACCTGAAGTCCAGCGCCTGCCCCCCACCCACCACATCCAGCCCCACCACTACCCCCACCGACACCCCATCCCCACCGCCACTGCCACCATTTGTTCCCATCCCCGCCACTACCGCCACTCCCCATCCACATGACCACCACCATCCCCTGCCACCACCGCCACCCCCTGTTTCCACAGCCACCCCATCCCCACCACTATCACCACCAACCCTGCCCTTCCCCACCGCTAACCACCACTCGCCATCTCCACCACCAACGCTATCCCCACCGCCACCACTCCCCAGTCTCACTTTCACCACCACCCCCTATCCCCACTGCTGCCACTACCCCCTATCCCCACTGCCACCATCGCTATCATCCTCTATCTCCACTGCCATCCCCACGGTCACCACCACCAACTCTCCCCGTCCCCACTGCCACAATCACCCCACATCCCCCCCACCACCACCAACACTCCTCACCACCACAACCACCGCTGCCCATCCCCATCGCCACCACCCACTCCCCACCACTACCACCATCCA